AACCGTAGGTTGGGTGAATTATAACAGAGGTTGGGTGAAATATATCGCCAATATTTTACATCGGCGTGAAATATAATGGAGGTTGGGTGAATTATATTGGGGATTCGGTGAAATATATCGGAGGTTGGTGGAAATATATTGAAAATAAGCTGGAATTAAACGCAAAATGGTGTATTAACTACTGAACTACTGGTATTGGGGGACTGCCAAAACCTCCTCAAACTCCCTTTTTGTAGTATTTATCATCCGGATAAGCCCTCATTGTTAATCATAATGACAAGCTGCTTCGCGCACTTGGAGGAGCGACAATCTTGCACCCAACGAGCTTCAAGTGACAAACAAAACTGCAAAACAAAGAAAAATTGTTGCATTAACGTTACATTATGCTGGATAAATGCGAGCGACCTGTAGCAAATTGGAGAGACGGTTTTGACCTCTCCGCAATTTGCAACCGGTATTATAAATCGAGAAATGTCTCATTTGCGAGCGGTTGCAAAATAGTCTGCGGAGGTTTTGGCAGTCCCCCAATACCAGTAGTTAATATCGTTAGTATCAATAATACTTCCTTATCTGCCTAAATTACTTATCTGCCTAAATAACTTACTGTATATCTTAAGAACCACTAGAATCCATCAGGGGGGAGCTAACCCCCCCTGATGGATTCTAGTGGTTCTTAAGATTCAGTGGTAGAGCGTTGGATTCCAGACCCAACGGTCAATGGTTCAACTCCCTTACTCCTCATTCTTTTTTCGTTCATGTTATATACTTGACCAATTCCCCGAGTGAGTGGGTGACACACCCACTCAATTGGTCAAAACCCACTCACTCAGGGAATTTGGTACTAACGTTATTGACCTAAAACGTCCCTGAGTAAGTGGGTGGGACTAGGGTGCGCCCTATACACAATACGTACAGTGTTTTAAGGGAACTCTGGACGCCATGCGCTCCGAACAAGCGACGAAATTGAAGCTGCCATCCCCGATTTCAACGTGTTAGATTTAGGATTCTTTAATTCTATTCAAAGCCTACAGTACCAAAAGTGCACTCGAACCATCGAGGAGCTTATTGTTGCTGTAGAAAATGCGTTCTATGAGTTGCCGACTGACACGCTTGCAAAGACTTTCGTAACCCTTCAAAAAGTTATGGAATTGTCCTTTGAAATACATGGCAGCAACGAGTATAAGCTTCCTCACATGAAGAAGGACGCTCTCATTGCAGACTTTGCATCGTCCTACGAGAGCGCTTTGGCTCATTTGAATAGCCGACTTGGTGAGGAGGTTCACCTCGATGCCATGGTCAAGTCTCTTGAATGAGACATTAAAAAAATACAATAAAATTTTTGGTGCGGGTTATGGTGTTTTGGAGTGGCATACAAAAAGCAAGTCGTTTCAATTGCCCAGTGCATACTTTAATCAAGTGAAAATCTACCTGACAGTTTTTGTGGAACGGAGTAGTACATGGATAGTATTATAGTAGTGCTACGTAGTAGTAGTACTAGATACTTTTAACTGTAAACACCAACACAACCCCTAGAGTCCCCGAGTCCCCCATTAATAGTATATTATTAATACAGTACTGTAAGTTAATGAGCATACTGTATCGTTGCCTCGAAAGCAGCCTCAGGTAGTTAGTTATTCACAAGAAAACAAAAATAGTGTCATGTAAACTTGGTTGCGAATTGGGCAGAGTTGCAATCTGATCCTCTCACAATTTACAGTTAATACGTACTATTAATAGTATTAATACTACATATTAATAGTACTACGTATTAATAGTATTAATAGTATTAATACGTATTAATAGTACTACGTATTAATAGTATTAATAGTATTAATACGTATTAATAGTCCTACGTATTAATAGTATTAATAGTATTAATACGTAGTACTATTAATATGTAGTATTAATTATTATTAATTACTACTATTAATAGTATTAATAGTAGTAATTAATATTAATAGTACAAAATACTATTACTCCGAATAATGATCGAAAGCGCAAAACCCGTGACAACGCATATTGAAGCTGAACTCAAAAAATCTTGTGGCAGGATAATAAATTTTGTGTGTTGAAGGCACTACCTCATGGACGAGCCACGGAGCTCTCTCCAGCACGCCCGGATCATCTTGGTCAAGATTGGCACGGAGGTTGTTAACTCGCCTGAGGGCTTGCTCGCCATGGGCAAGATTGGCTGCATCGTCGAGCAGATCGCGCGATTGCACATGCAAGGCAAGCAGATCATCCTCGTGTCGAGTGGCGCCGTGGCCATCGGACGCATGGTGCTCAAGCGCCAACAGATGCTGTCGGGATCTATGCAATCCCACTTGAAAGGGTACAACCCCGCAGCACAGGGCTCGTTGAACCCCAAGGCCTGCGCCGCCGCAGGTACCTAAACACCCGCGATGTAGCCGGCAATCATGATCCCCAATTCATGTAGGTCAAAGCGGGATGCAGTCGCTGTACGAAGTGCTCTTCTCCCAGTACCACTTGGCATGTTCACAAATCTTGACGTCCGACACCGACTTTCAAGTGCCCGAGGTAACCAAACATTATTGCGTCTCCATGCCATGATCATCGTCGTCATCGTACATGTTTACGTCGTCTGCCATATAGACTCGAGAAAATGTCAAGCAGACAATCTTGTCGTTGCTGCAAGTCGGGATCATTCCCATTATCAACGAGAACGATGTTGTGTCTCAGCGTAAGGCGCCGTTAACCGACGCCACGGTAAAGTGCCGTTTCTTTTTCCAGCTCTGAACGAGTTTATACTGTATGAAGACGACCGTCATGTGTTCGTCGAGTTAGAATCGAATTGCGTGGGACAACGATTCGCTGGCATCGCTGGTAGCTCAGGAATTGGGCGCTGAACTGATGCTTTTGGTCACAGATACGGCTGGCCTGGCTGGTATGTTGCAGTGTCGTCAAGTCGATCCTGGCATGATCATTATTATGACCTATTGTATATGTATATACGCAATACATTCTATATATGTACATCATCGATAGTAATAGTTCTATATATCGACATGTGTAGATGCCAATGGCGCGGTTGTGCATGAGTACAACCCGTTGCAACCGATGCAATTTGCATCGACTTCTCGTGTAGGCCACCACGGACAACTGGACAAAGTCCTCGCGTGTGTCGACGCCATCAACAGCGGAGTGGTCAAGGTAAATACCAGTACTAGTATATCTAGCAGTAGATTTTAACTGTTGACGGGGTGCTCTATCAAAGGCGGCAGTGATGCTGCCTGCTGCGCCCAACAGCTTGGTGCATGCTGTGGAGGGCCAGCGTATTGGCACACTATTCCGCGGCCCCGCGCCACTGCCGCAACCGTCTGCCCCGGCTGCTGCTCCCGTACCCCCAGCTAGCAAGCTCTAGAACATGCACTTGACTTTGTTCTCTCAAATAGTACACTGTATCACTCTTGCTGTTGAAACGCTGGTGCGCAATGGAATATACGTTTGTGTCCAACGTAGGGCTTGGGCGGCACTCTGGACTGTCAGCTTACTGTTTTCACGCTAGCTATTCCGTTTAGATTGACGAAATCGGAAGGTCTGGCCACTAACTACGCTATTTATAATCACGAGATTTGCAAGAATCAAGCGACTGATAAGAAGTTATTTAGAAATTCTAGTTATAACGACCTCGTGGACAAAAAGAAATGAGGAGTAAGGGAGTTGAACCCTTGACCGTTGGGTCTGGAATCCAACGCTCTACCACTGAGCTAACCCCCCGATATGATTCTTGCTAAGCTCAACTACTATGGTTAGATTTGCATTATCTATACTAATACTGCGAAACGACGGCCTCCCATGCATCCGCTTTGACGACGCCGCGCGACCACCCGCCGCGACAGTCAGTCTACTCATGCGAAGCCCCAGAACCGCTTAGGTGCGACTTCGCACTTACGAGCTGGGGTATACGCGAGCATTGTATAAAATAATAATGCACCGTTCATCACACGTGCTAATTAATAACTTGCCTACAAACTTCTAAAATTCGTGTGTCTAATCAATATTGAATCACGCTGGAGCTCTGATTGGTTGAATGTACTTGTCCTTTCTGTCAGAGCCAATCAACTCCACTCAAAAATGGATTAGCCAATAGCGCCGATTCGTGATTCGAATCGGCGCTATTGGCTAATCCAACGGTGCATTATTATTTTAAACAATGCTCGCGTATACCCCAGCTCGTAAGTGCGAAGTCGCACCTAAGCGGTTCTGGGGCTTCGCATGAGTAGACTGACTGTCGCGGCGGGTGGTCGCGCGGCGTCGTCAAAGCGGATGCATGGGAGGCCGTCGTTTCGCAGTATTAGTATAGATAATGTAAATCTAACCATAGTAGTTGAGCTTAGCAAGAATCATATCGGGGGGTTAGCTCAGTGGTAGAGCGTTGGATTCCAGACCCAACGGTCAAGGGTTCAACTCCCTTACTCCTCATTTCTTTTTGTCCACGAGGTCGTTATAACTAGAATTTCTAAATAACTTCTTATCAGTCGCTTGATTCTTGCAAATCTCGTGCCGCTCCCAGACGAGGCCTGTATACAATGACCTAGCATTATCCTAATTTTCTCTCATCTATACTAATTAGGATATGACCTAATATTAATGTTGGATGACCTTTGGATGACGTTTGGATGACACATGATACTATCACGGATATTTGAAATCCATATAAATAATTCGAAGTATGTTTAATACGTACTTCAGAAGTAGAAACTATTAATATTAACGTTATAGTAACTATTATTAGTATTACTACGATGTACTTCAAGTACTACTGTTATTAATATACAGTACTGGTACAATAGCAACAACATATTTTTTGGAGGTCCTCCAACATCCACTTTCACTTCCGCTTTGATTAACTACAGTAATGTAATGTTAGTAAAAATCTTCGCTTTCTCATTTCGGGCGAGCGACGTTAATGGAATGATCATGTCAGTTCTCCTCATTACTACAGACGTAGTACCGGTAGTCATCGCACTCGTTATCCAGGCCAACTTCAATTGAGCTCCTTACCCAGACATTTCTATAAGGTACGAATGGGAGATGGCTGGCAATTCCGATCAATATGGCGTGGTTGCCCTCCTACTGCATCACGTCCACTTGATTATACTCGACAGCGTACAGTACCTCTACGTCTGCTAGATGCGACAAAGTTCGAGTTGGTTATCACACAGAAACTTCACGACATCCAAATGTCCATTGCATGCCGTCCCCTCCACGTCGTCCTCGTTCCTTTCTTTGTTGGTCAAAAATTTCACACGTTCCAAATTTCCAAGTTCAAATGTCCAGTGTCCAAGTGCCAGCAATGCAACACAAAGTGGTGGCCGCTGGTGAGGTAACTTTGATCCAGCAAGAGCGTGACGACATCGATGCGACCATGGATTGCCGTCAGACCGACGGCGTGTCGGGAGACTCGAGTTTATCCATGCAGCAGGCCAAATGAAAGAGCTTCACAAGATTCAAGCGTCCAAAGCGTGCGACACTATCCAACCCTACCACGATCACCATTGCATGCAACCATGCGATCGACAGTTGTCACGTTGCCGAAAGCGATGGCACACAAACCGCCGATCGCTTGGACGAAAACGCACATCCACTGGTGTTCACCTTTCGCGCGGTCGTTCACTCCATAGTGAACTCCATTCGTCAAAGAGTCTTCGTCAGAGAAAGCCTTGCACAAGCGTGGGTGTGATGCAGTAACGTTAGCGAATAATACTGTACCAACCATGTTGAGAAAGGAGTTGACCTTGAAAGGAGTTGACCGTGGCAACGAGACTACTGTATCGTTGAGCGACACCCTGTGCGAGCAACAAGCGCTGCGTCGGTGTGGCGGTGACGCCAAGGTGTCGGCATCCATCGCATTCACTGGCGGCATTACAGTCTGGTTGGGGCTGATTGACAAATTCGTCGAAATAGTTTTCGATCTTTTACAGTCAAAATTAATTCTCAAGCTGACGCCGAAAAAATTCATTACAAGCGAAATATTGCGCTTTACAGTATCGTTGGTCAAAACAAGATAAAAAGAATGAGGAGTAAGGGAGTTGAACCCTTGACCGTTGGGTCTGGAATCCAACGCTCTACCACTGAGCTAACCCCCCACTTTGGATTTGATAGTAGTGTGTCACAATTAAGAGTTAATTGTAACAGTCTGAATATCTGAAGCCAAATCGAATGTTCAGCTGCAGACATTGCTCCTGGTTGGTGGTAAAGGGTGCCTCGACCAAGGTACTGTACTACTCACCAATGCACCGACAGTAGTACGTACTAGGCCTACCGTAGGCCGTAGAGCTTCAATCAAAACTGTTCATCTGTGAATTATGCGCGTAGTACTGCTTGAAGTACCTGTAGTTAACGTTAACTAGATAAAATCAAGTGGCTCGGAAGTGTTTGTACATACTAGTACTAGTACGTAGCACTGTACCGGTATGTACTTGCACCCATATTTTCCCTGCTCTAAGTCTTGTTGTTCGTACAGTTAACGTTAAGGAAATCGCTGTACTGTATCACCTTAGAAATACGACATGAAACCAATTATTATTAATATTGCATATTCACGAAATGCGACCCAGCTTATTGTGCTTTTCGCCTCTTTAGGCTACAGTGGTTGCTGGTAAAACCCGGCCAGGGCAACTCTCCAAAATTTAAATAAATAACCAAAAGTAGGGATGTATGGTTCTGTGTTTTGATTGGATAACTTCATGGGAATATTCGATAACCAATCACAAAGTCGCTTGCCTCTAATTGGCTCGATTCAAATCTACAAATGACGCTTGTCAAATCTGTCAGCAAGTCCAGCACGTATTTCCAAATGAGCGCAACCAAGGGAAAACATCTTGACGGCACAAGAGAAGGATTTGGCCACAGTGAAACGGACGATTAAGGTCTGGGATCGTATTTCGACAGACACGATTGTGAAAGCCTTTGATAAAGCGATCCCATCAGTACTTGAGATTTAATTCATAACAATTTGATGGTCATGTATTGTGTGAGATTGTTGCGGACACTCGAATATGCGCGTTATCCGGTTTTGCGACGCGTGCGACGCGCATTATCCGGACTCACTGACTTTAGTTTTAGCCAATACATGTCGTCTTCACGGAGTTGCACGAAGTGATTTTCATTATATTTTGATTGTGCGCCATACCACTGAACATAGTATTTTCAAGTCATGGGCAAAAGTTGCACTGGCCGGGTTTTACCGGCAACCACTGTATTCACACCATAAACCAGGGTGTTTGTTACATCGACCCCAGTGTTTTAGATAATCCGTAGTTATTAATACCATGATTTAGGATGTCACGTTTCGTTACAGAATGTAATTACACGTATATACAGTACTACGTAGTATGTAGGTAGGTCGTTTATGCAACTCCCTCGCTTTTGCACATTTGAAAAGTGCAAATCGAAGTTATATCTGCTATTCTCGCGACCAAATTGCACAATTCACTGGTCATCATGAACAACTTTTTATATTACAAATGACACACAGCGAGGACATGCGCCGGAGTTCTATCGTACAGCTATGTACGTATGGTGCCACATCGTACAAAACCACACCATCTACTTGTTCCATCGAGTAGTACATGCAGGTAGCATGTACTACACGTACGCGATGGAATAACAGCCAATGTGTTTTGGTCACTTCAGCATCACATGTGATTATTATTGCTCAGAGTTATGTGGTATTTATAAAACCCCAGTGAATTAGCTAAGACACTAGGTATTTATTCAACTTTGTAACACTCTGTTATCCACGTAAAGCCGACGCCAAAACAAGTGCAAAGCAGAGCGAAGGAAGAAATATTGTACCCACAGTTTGCGAGCTGGCCTATAAGAAAGTATTCTATTGAAATCCAAAAAGGGGGGTTAGCTCAGTGGTAGAGCGTTGGATTCCAGACCCAACGGTCAAGGGTTCAACGCCCTTACTCCTCATCTTTTTTACTCTGGACATGGAGTTTTCCTATATTTCGTGCCCCACCTGTCAATTGTGAACTTGTTAAGGCTTACAGTTTATACTACCTATGTCCGGAAGTAGTTGCAACATTCAGAATAATTTAATAATGAGAGTCAAGATTATCAAAATATCAAAATCTAAAGGTATGCTTTGATAGAGGAGTTCAAGGTGAATACGAATAAACTAATGCCGTCCCAGAGTACCCTCAATCGAAAGAGTAAATCAAGAATCCAAGTTTATTACTTTATCCAAGATATCCACGATGTAACGTATTTATCCGGAATGCGGCCAAGTTTGATACTTTATCCTATATACTTTGGATGTAACGATTCTATCCGGAATTGGGTTCCTCTCTTATCCGGTTTATCCGTATTATCGTACATTTTGTCCGGTATTTTCACATTATTAGCACCCATGTGTGATTCCTTTAGATTTGGGGAACAACAGTCATATGAGCAATTCGTACCAAATTGCAATCGTTGAAATACTATTCAACATGTTACAGGTGAATTACTCGCGATATTTGTTGCAACCATTTTCGGAATTCAACAATCTCAAATGTTGCAACTACTTTCGGACAGTGGTAGTATGTGTATATACAGTTTACATGTACAGTAGAAGTGTCTGCCCTGAAAGTAGACTATATATGTACGTACGTATTTGTTAATCGAGCCCTTACGATTCGAATCAGGCCAACATTGGAAGAATCACCAAGTGAAACCGCCCTACCACGGTAAACGTTATTAATACTACCAGTAGGCATTAATACTGTACCAGGTGGAAAAAAACGAAAAATGGGGTGACAAAACATTTCGTCTCATTTTCTATCCATACTATGACCATGATTGATTGGACATAAATCATTAGACTACGATGCATACTGATTGGTCAATAACACAGTCAAATATCCATTTTGGAAATGCACCCAGTGGTTCGCGCAAAGTGTACCCGAGCCGAGCTAGAGGCTGAGTTCCAACTCTTGCGTTCAATGCCAACACCACGTGGTACTGGGTACGACAAGAGTGTTGATGCGCGGCGCCAAGGCAGCAACGACAGCAACACACACGGCAGTGGTCGAGTCCATCATGTCACATTGAAAAGTTGGGATGCGATTGGGCTCAATTATTGGATAGTGAGGCATCCATTATTAGCCAGTCATTGGGGAAATAGCTGAGTTTCCCAAACTAGTGAAATATGGATTTTTTGGAATGAGTTGGGGAGCGTTTTGATTGGATAATGCCCATTTTGAAAAGTACTTGATGAGTTACCCTCGTTCTAAACATGCGTCCCGAGTCATGTCGGATTATTGGCTTATCATTCCTCCACACAATTCAACAAGAAACGGCGACTGATCCTAGTACTGTACTGTGTACTACTGTATAGTACTCGGTAGGTAGTGCTCCCCCACCCATCACCAATAGCTGTGTTGAGATATGATCCAATACATAATATATTCACACAACACGACACAACATCGTGGTTTATCTCGAGTTGGTGTTGCCGTTGCCGCGCTTGCCCGAGTTTTGCCACTTGGCGAGTTTGGGCAACTGGTGGCGATCCGCCTCGCCAATCTTGGCCATCTTGTTCATCTTGCGCTGCTGCTTGAGCGCAATGTTCTTACTCTTAGCCTGCATGGCTTCGTCGCGGAATCCGCTTTCATCACGAGGCGCCACGCGGCTCAGCGAGCGGCCCGACTTGGACTTGGAGCGGCGGGCCACCGACGTCGACCGCAGGCGGGCACCGCCCTTGTTGGCACTATCGTCGTCGTCATCCCCGCCTTCCATATCGACGTCATCCACTTCGTCCCGCGTACGTTTGCGGCCACGCTGTTCGTCGTCGACTTCGTATTTTTTAGCTTTGGCGGTGGCATGGCCGAGCTTGGAGCTGTCGACACCGAGCGAGTCCAAGCTATCTTTGAACCCGTCGAGGGTGCGGCGCATATGTTTGCGAGGCAATACGCTTCGGTTCTTGTTTTTGGCTTGGCGATGTTCGGCAATCATCACGTGCTTCTTGTCGCGAATCGCACGAAGGGTCACCTTGTCCTCTTCATCCAAATCCGATACAATGTCGTCGTCTTCCATATCTTGGTCGGCGGCAGCGGCATCCAGCGCCTCTTCTTCGCGCTCGAGCTCGTCCAAACGCGCGAGAATGTCTGGGTCCACAAAGTCAGCCAAGTTCTTGCCGTTCCAGATCTCGGGCATCACATCATGGCGCCATTCCTTGTTCTTGAGCATGCCTTCGTAATGCTCAGTGTAGTCCATCGCGTACACGCCGGCGCCGCCATTCTCAACCATCTTTTGCTTTTGCGTCTTGCGGGATGCTGCCAACGAAGAAGGGTCGTCGCGAGCCTGGAGGACGCTGTCGGGGATGCTGATGTCTCGGACAATCTCGTCGCGCGCCACGGGCATGGCCACCGTGAGCCGGTTGAGCACATCGCCGACCTTCTTGCCCTTGACTTTGGTGCTCACGCGGTGACTGAGCAGTTCGTCGCAAGCGTAGTTTTTCACGGTGCTCACGTTCTCTTCCGAGTGGTTGCTCATGGTAAAGATCTTGGCGCTGGCCGTGGTCGCGGCCTCTTCGATGGCTTCTTTGTGGTGCGCCGGCAGCAGTTCGTATGGCATTTGATCGATCTTATTGCACACCAACAGCAGTGGCTTGTTGGCAAACAACGGCCGGATGTTGGCAAAGAGACTCAACTGCTGCTCAATGGTGAACCCGCACTGCTCTGAAATGTCCAGGAAGAACAACACGGACGCCTGCAAATGGGCCAGCGCCGTCACGGCTTGCATTTCAATCGTGTTGCGCTGCTCCAGCGGGTGGTCCAAGATCCCGGGGGTGTCGATTACTTGCCACCGGAGGTATTTGTAGTCCATATGGCCCACATACAGCGCCTTGGTCGTAAACGCGTACGGCTGCACGTCCACGTCGGCGCGGGTCACTTTGTTCATGAAGCTGGACTTGCCGACGTTGGGAAACCCCGTTACGAGCAACGTGCGGGTGTTGGGGTCGATGCTGGGCAGACGACTCAAGTGCTTGCGCACTTCCTCGAGGTAGTCCAAGCTGCTCTTGTTCTTCTTGAGCAAGGTGCAGATACGACCAAGCGCTGCGCGCTTGAGCTGCTTGCATCGGTACAGCGTGTCGCCGTACTTGATCATGCGCACGTAGTCCTTGGCGATGTTGTCCACCAACGCGCGCGCCGTGTTGATCTGGCCGAGCGCGAGCTTGTAGTGGTCCTTGTCGTACAAGATGTTGATCAGGTCGGCGTAGAACGGATGGATGTCGTCAAGTCGCGGAAAGTCGTCGATGATCTGGCTGAGCTTTTCCTGGCACGTTTGCTGCGTGAACTTGACCTTACGCATGTAAAACGCACGGATGCGAGAGATGGCATACGTGGGATGGATCACTGTGGGGGTTTTGCGCTGAGTGCGCGTGAGGATGATGTCCACAAAGTTGTTGGCCGGCGGCACCGTCTGAATCTTCTTGAAGTTGTACACGACCATGGTTCCTAGAGCGAGGTGGGTGTGACGACGAAGGCAGTTCCAAACTCTTCCAAACACAAGATGCACTCGACTTTTGACTGGAGTACCATTGGCGTAACGATTGGCTTGCACGTTCAGGTCAATGGTCACTTTGGATTGGTGGAAATATTCAGCTTTGCAGCCATCGGATTGGACAGTAATTTGACAGATTAGTTTTGAAGAATGCAACCAATCATGGAGTGGGATTTCCACCAACCATAGTTTTAGCATGCGCTAATTTCACACAACCCGTAACATCGACCGACGATATCGCAACAAGTCAACTTTTGTAGTTTACCACGCTCATGAGGTGGCCACTTAAACGCAATTATATCTTCAGATGCCAAACGTTATTTGCCTATATAAGGCCGAAAACAGAAAGGATTTTATTATATTTGAGGCAAAATATCATCGCTATGATGGATAAAAAGAAATGAGGAGTAAGGGAGTTGAACCCTTGACCGTTGGGTCTGGAATCCAACGCTCTACCACTGAGCTAACCCCCCATTGATATAAAATTGATTTGAAAAATGTTATAAATATGTAGTATCTAGTATCGGAAAGTTAGGCCAAGCTAAAGGTGTACACTGTACTGCGTAGTATGTACTACTGTACGTAGTAGTCAAGTAGATTTGGGGCTAAGGACCTCTTATACGTATAGTACTCGTAGAGGATGCCTCGACGAAGTTACTCCAGATTGTACTACCTCCTGCAGAGGGTAGAACTCCTATCCTAGCTAATCACCTGAAAATCCAAGTGTGTGTCGGTTCACTGTGTAACCGTCTCCGCATCTGCACACAAGTTTACAAATGGGCGAGTATGTCAAGCTCATACGACAGCACCGCCCACCAAATCGATTTCGCCCCCGAACCCGCCACGAATCTTGGTTTCTTCGGTACACGGCAACCCGCGTAGGCGGCGACGATGCCGACAACGTAGAGTTGCACCCGTGGCACTCGAAATTACACCTATGGCAACTGGCGAGTCTCCAGTTTACGTCATTGCACGAAGGTAGGTATGCATACTCACTCAACTCGCACCCCACACAAATGTCGTCACGGACGTAGCGTGTCGTGTGGGGGATGTGAAGGCGTTGAATATGGCGCTACAAGAAACATGCACCATGCACCAAGACTGCACCGGGAGTACGCCACTGCATGTAGCCGCGACCCATGGCCACCTCTCCTGTGTGCTTCGCCTGTTGGAACTTCCAGACGCAATGCTTCAGTTGCACGTCGTAGATGTAGCCGGACGCACCGCGCTACACAAGGCATTGCAGCGTCCATGCGTAAGCAAACATGTACATACCATGGTGGTAGGTAGAGTATTATCTGACCGCGTTGTAGCCAAGTGTGTTGGCTTGCGTAGATGCCATGCTAGCCCATGCACCGCCTTCACTGCTCACGAATGTGCACGACAAGTATGGTTGGTCGATTCAAGCCCTAGACGTTCGCCAGCGGTACTGTACCTCGACCCGCCAAGGACCTAAACATGCGTGACTCGATTTAGGGGAGATTTGTTTGATGCAGTGTCAACCGGAAATGTTCACCGCATGCAATTTATCCTCTCAAATTACGATCTAAGATCATCCAACTGGACAGTATTGCCGTTGTTGGAATGGACATTGCTCCACCAAGGTTATACCTCCATATCATTTTTTGGCTGTGAATCCAAACAATTCGTTTATCTTATAGCGTGCTTAAGCCAGCAAGTTGCCGCCACAAAGGAAGTGTTGGTCAACCGCCGCCTGTTGTGCAGCGTCGACCCACTAAAGCAAGATTCATCTGGGTGTACCGCCTTGCACGTGAGTGCCAAGGGCGGCTTTATTGAAGGCTGCGTCCTGCTCTTGGACGCCAACTCGTCAAATCAACCAGTCGACATGATCGAGGCGCTGCTGCTTTGCGCAGACGCCACTGGTCGTACAGCTTTGCACTGGAGTGTCAGGAACAAACATGCGGCTGTGGCGTCGTACTTGCTCCAGTCAGCGGCGCTCGTGGGGGTGGTCGTTGAGCTGTTGCAAATGTGCGACGATGTACATCATTCGCCGCTTCACGTTGCGTGTGCCACTGGTCAAACGGCCCTGGCAGAGGTATGTACACACATCCCTGCATATTCACGACCTACCATGGAACACTGATGATGATGGCGAGGGTACATCAGGCGATGCTGCAATTGGGGGCCAACGCCAACATGGCTACCAGAATACATGAGCCGCGCCCACCGAGATGTCGACGCCGCTCCCAATCTAAAATGTCTACTACCTTGAATACCTCTCAGCCCAACCGCCTACGAGAAGCTATGGAAACAATGTACTGACCTGTATACATTCTTCGACCTAAATGTAAAGCGTTCTACTCGGAATGACACTGTGCATGAGAATTGCAGGTCGCTACATGACGTGGCGCAACACACAGTCGAGCTCAAGACCTTGAAGCTGCTGGTACCTCGACCCCTATCATCCCCGCAGCTACAATCATCTACTGCAACATCCTGCGACACGGTGGAACCGATAGCGTCCCCTCTAGCCATTGCATTGGTCGCTCGATCATACGACATTGCCGACCTGTTGTTGCAATATGGCGCCAACATCATCGTGCGGTAATTCTATTTATATGTCCCCGTCAAGTATATATATATATATATATTCGAAGACATGTCAGGAGATTCGAATGTAGAGACCAAGTATGGAGAGCTTATGTGGACGATGCCAACAGCCGTGCGACGCTAGTCCAGTGGAGTTCACGCTGGCTGTGTCCAGATATCTTTCCTTCAAGTGCTTTCGCCACACTGTGTGGCCAGGCTTCGTTTACTCCCAGTATCTTTCCCCGTAATGACACCAACGACAACTCAGACGCAAAACATGCGATGACGGTTATCGAATCGGGACTTTGTGCTTTGTTGGATGTGTCAATTGGGCTGAATTATTACTCCACTTGGGACAATCTAGCCCACGCTGCATTCTCGGCGTTTCGCCTACGAAGACTGCACTTGGCCCATCGCCTAGCCAACCTATGCGGCGCTACGTTGTTTAACGATTCGGTAGTGCATTCCCACTGTTTGGGTTTATTTCATACATACATGTGAGGTATTGTCTTACGAATTCATCTTTTGTAGCGCTCGACAAGTTGGCTAGTGGTAGCTGTGGAGAATGCATGTCTCGCCAGCTGCCGGTGGCTTCAAGCTCATGACTACCCCTTCTCAGCTATCGACATCCCGGCCATGTGTCTACTGCTGAGCTCTCCCTGTCGACACCGATCCGTTAACGACGACATTGCCGTTCAAACTCGGACGAGTCTGTTTGTATGGCTCGTACAGTGCCATGTCAGCCTGATTCAGGTGTGTGGAACTCCAAACTCTTCGACAAATAAATCGAAGGGTTTAGGATATTATGGTGACTGTGTGTAGTCCTCCTACCTTCAAACGTATTTGGACCTGGCGTTGGCCAATGCAAACACCGCTGTGACCCGACTATTGGTGGATAACATGATTCACACCGAGGACAAGAGCTACTACACCATTCGTGCGGACCACGCTGTGGTAGCCAGTCGTGGAGATGAAACATATATCCTGTCGCTTCGTTCGATGGGATGCTGGACACATTGCGACCTTGGGCTGACGCTGGCCATCCATTTCAACATGTCGCAGACGATCCTGCGCTGTATTATTGCGCACGGCGCCCGACCTACCCCTCAAGCCGTCGTCTACGGTGCGTTTATGTAATAGTATTGTTTTAATGAAATGAAAGACAAGTATTTCATTTTGCCAAATATATACTATATTTATTACAGGCAAACCCGCCATCGTGTGGGCCATCTGGCATCGGCGCCTTGACATTGTTCGGGTCCTTTGTATCTTGGAGCCCACACTCTGTCTTGCGACGACGGATGGTCAAGGTACGACGTTTGGCTAGAAATCAAATCTCGGTTTTTTTAAATGCGTTTTTAATGTTCTTTTGACTTTCTGTTCATGGTTACGATGCGTATTCTCATACAATGATGGTATTATTATGAGGACAAGGTATTATTGATTTGGTACGACTTTCCGGACCCTGTTCAATCAAACCACGCCGGCCAAACCGATCACGAATCGCTCCCATTGGTCAATCTAGAAATGCTTGTCGCTGATTGGCTACACTATTTCGTCATGCTTGTGCGGAATCGGGAAAACCGATGAAATTTCGCGGCGAGATATTTGTGAAATCGGTTTTACGAGTCGCATAAAATTGGGAAATTTGGAGCAAATTCATAGCAATGCTTTGAATAGTGACAGAATACTGATGCTGCTTTCAGGACGAGATGCATTGTATTATGCCATGCGAACCAACGATGTGTCCGTGGTGGCGTTTCTATGGACGAACCGACGACAGAGCCAGTTCAACTTTGCCGCCGCATTGGTGGCTGCAGTGGAATCCAATGCTATGGCGTCCCTGAAATGGATGGCTGCCACGGCACCACAAGATTTTTTTCGGTCTATCGAGGCGCTACACGTGCACATGGTATACTTACTGTTTCGCTATTATTTTATGATATTTTTTCCATATGCAATGTGACTGGGAGATATTGTTGTCGTAGCCACATGTGACATCGTTGGAGCATGTAGCTTGTGCGCGAGGGTTTCTCGAGCTTGCGACGTGGCTACGCTCGATAAACAGCAACCCCACGACGACATGCTTGTCATCGTCAAATGCTGATGGGTGCACACCTACGCAGGTCGCAAGGTAGGATCTCTTCCTCGTTCTCAAAGATATATATATATATATGGTGGTTTGACAACAGACCGAATATATTCAATCTATCGAGACACTATATTAGGTTGTTTGGGTATCCAATACATTTCGACGAATCCAAGGGGGATAACTGCTGCCATGACCCTGTGGTGTTGAATGGTGTGCTGCGACGGCTCTTGTCCACACAAGTGTCGGTCATCTCTACGGGGAACAAGGTACAACACGCTGACAAAGTAAAATGAACGATGATGGATTGAATTGTTTATGTTTCTACAGTCTATCGATGGCACTGCTGCTTGGCGGCCACTATATCCAATTGCAAGCCAAGCCTTTCAATTCACCGAGCTATACGCAGCGTGTAGCAACAACTCTGTCGCATACGTCAGCATCTTGGCCTCGTTCGGAGTGTCCCTCGTCGAGCCCTGTGGACCACTCAACCTGCCACCGTTGGATTGGGCAGCTCACTAGTACAATTCGTTTCATTTGTGGTCTAGAAATAACGTGATTCGACACCTTGTATTCACTTGTGGTGTGTGTATATGTTTAGTGGAGCCGTCGACGTGATCCAGTGCCTGCTTAGCCAAGGCGTGGTGGACGTAGAAGGGACGGCGCTGAGGCGGGCGGCTACCCGACGCCAGGGGTCAGCAGTTGCGGCTTTGCTGGATGCAGCTCCGCCTGCCACGTCATTGGGGCGACTGCAAGGGGATGGGGCTACACCCACACTGCTGCATTTAGTAGCTCGTGTCCAATCAACTGTTGCCCCGCGCTTGATCCAAGTTTTGATAGACCAGTACCACGCGGATGTGGATATTGTGGTACTACTATTAATAGTATATTCTTAGCCATGACAACGGAGCAAAAGTGGTCAATATTCGAGTTTTATTTTCTGAAATAATTCGACTATGTCGACTTTTGTTAAAAAAACTATTTTTGGTTATTAATTCTGCTGCTGCTGTGCTTTGTAGGATGGCCAAGGGTTGACACCCGTTGTGTATGCGATGGTGAGTGGCAACGTGCCGGCGATGCTTTGTTTGTTGGAGCGAGGTACCTCGCGTTTGGAATTCGTGTGGATGGTTGGTTCACTTGATGTGCACTTAGGTGCACGGCTGGAGGCCGAATACGAAGGCCAATCCGGATTCTACTATGTCCTGCACCTACTCCCCTCGGACACGTGGCGTGTCTTCTTTCAAGGTTATACAATGTCGAAGCAACTCCATTTTATGCTCCATTTGTTATTTGTTATTGTATACCACCGTGTTTCATGCACTAAATCTTTTCTGATAGCGTATTTGGGTGTGGTACTACACGGCCGAGCACTGCACTGCACAGAATCGTGCGGATGCAAGTCGTTTGAAGGGTCGGTAGGTGACGTGGCGTGTTCGTTTTGCAGCCACCGATTTGACCAACATTCCCACATCCCCCTCCCCCCCTGGCATCAAGACGTGTCCGATACGTACCGCATGCAACGTACTAGTAGTACTACTAGTAGTCATATATCCCCCGAATCAAGCCCCCGATCCACAACATCCGACAACGACGACCACGATAATGTCCATCGTTTCCAACACGATCGTTCCGATTTCGAGGTGCGGGGAACTCCACTGGAGTCATTTAACATAGTGGAATTTCATTGATATACTAAATACACTAGAATCAAGACCCCCATCTATCTCCGCTGCCATTGTCCACACTAGAGTATGACTACGTCGGTCGGTTGGATCAATGTCATATTTCTGCGGTCGCCTGGGCACGATTCCGCCCCGAAGTCTCGATGTATTGTCTGTCGTCGATGACTGGTCATCCGGATGCAGGTCCATCAAGCACCACCGACGACGACGACGAAGACAAAGAGGATGTGTTGCAACGCGGGTTTGTGTGTTCATTGGACGATCAACCAGAGGCGTGGTCATGGAGGGTTCCGGCATTGAATCAATCTGACATCCCGGTGAAGATGGACAAACAACTAATTCCCCCGAGGTGGTCTGTGGCTACTACGTTCGGACTAGAGTATCACGTCGACTGCTGGTGTACACAAGGGGGCATGTACTGTCTGTCGGCCGCCATGAGTTTACGACGAGTGGTGACTTGGTGGCTAGGGAGACGCCTTCGATCTACGGGATCTGCGACGACGACAACGAAGACCGTCACAACGTTGTTTCACATATGGAAATCCGACGGTCGTCGTCGTATTTCGTCTCCGCGCGACCACGTGGTGCCCCGTACGCGCCAGCAACTAGTGCGACTCAAGCTTTTTGTCTTGCACTGGTGCCACGCCAAGCTCGTTCAAGCATTTAGCCGGTGGAAAAAGGTGCCAACAGCATCATACACCATCCATCTGCGACACCATACAGAGGTGGTGGTGGTGGCTGCTCCGCCGCAAGCCTCCAATATGGGGGATCACAGTTACTGTAATTCCCTGAACAAACTCAATCCACACAAGCCCGTGCCTAGACTAAAAAACTCGACACTTTCAACAGTGGATTGTGGTTAGCCGTGATAATGTTACACCTCAATTGATTCGATCAGTGAATTCCCTACCGCGACGATAAGGGCCACAGTTCATCTCGACCACTGCCCCACAAGCCAGAGCCGGGAAAAATGCATTCTCAACCTAAATCAAGTATATTCTATTTTAAAATATTTATTTTTGCTGAAAGGTCCTGCTCAAGGAATCAGTTATCAGTGAACACCGAGCGACAGATATATATTTTGAATATGAAGAATAAATAAGTAGATCATTCTAGTCGAGGTATTCATTACGGTTATTGTTGTATTATTCAATGGTAATAGGAAATTCCTTCCACCACTGGCTGAAGGAATTGTTTCTTCATCATGTAAGAATGAATGAAAATACCGATTTCCAATTGACTGTGAAGTGCAAGACTTCACACTGTTAATGTGTACACAAAAAACCTCGATAAAAAAGTTGGACCAAATCGGTCTATTTTTAATGCCATAAAACATCCGATGCGCAAGAAAATTATGGCGTACTATTGTGAATTCACTATAAACTTCCAAAATTCGATTGGTTTGTCGAAGCAATATTGAATCACGCTGGAGTTCTGATTGGTTGAATATACTTGTCCTTTCTGTAAGAGCCAATCAAATCCACTTCAAAATGGATTAGCCAATAGCGCGATTCGAGATTCAATTCAGCGGCGAGATTCGATTCCACGGGGTCTGGAAATTTGTATCGAATCCAAAATATTAATTTTAGTATTTTTTAAAACTTTGGTGGCGTCCACACGAACAAAATCTCGAAAAATGAAATATTTCGAATTTGGCAACTTTTGTTGGATAAACGGCAATTTTATGCCTGTTTTCGTGGCATTCAGGTCGGCCCTAAGACTACTATTTTCTGACCGAAATAAACAAACTATTTAACTACATGTCTTCTGCTTTCAAGCAAAATTTGGTGTTTTCGGTAGAGAACGACGTCAAATCTACCTGAAATCGTGTAGACATCGTTTTACTTGAACAGACTGTGAAATATATACACTCAATGTGAAACCTGTCAGATACGTCGAAGAAAAAGGTTGAACTCTTTGTGCATCACCTCCAATTTGATTGGTCGAAAGATTTTTATTCGAACACTTCATTGGCCACTTGGGTCCGTCGAGTACTGCGTCGATTTTGCTTATTCGATTGGCAATCCCAGTCCATTTTTCAATCGAATTGCCAATATGAATACTATACAGCCATGCGTCACCAAGCCATCTTGGAATCTTGGAAGCGACCTGCCATCACCCGATTCTGGTGTATTTACCTATATAATCCGATACTTCATATCCAATTAGACAGGTTTATTCGGAAAACTCAAGTTTTGGCATACATAAATCAAGTGAAAATGGAGGCGACAACTATTCTGCGCCAGAGTAGTACTGAACCTCTCTCTGGTCACACCATGGGAAGATACCCAATATTTACAATCGAATTGCCTTGGTCTGCCCCTTGTAGTTAGATGGATTCATAGACTCGTATAGTTAAACGTTTTTACTCCCGCGTCGGTAACTTTATAATCCGTTTAATAACTTATCCATCCACAACGGTTTTGCGTCCAGTTTTGTCAACGAGAGTGTATGTAGTAAACGACGATGATATAGACGCGTCCACGCGTGAATAAATTAAGGGCACAACAAACGATAAACACTCAACCCCTCCTAGATCATAGCGAGGGCGCGCTGGGTGTCGAGGCCATGCATGGGGGTGCTATGGCCCAACACGACGATACCGCTCGAGTCGCGTTCGATGAAGTCGTTGAACTTCTCGCGAATGTTGCGCTTGCGGATGACAATAACCGCCAGGACGGTGGCGACGACACCAGCTACGGCCACGGCGGCGATCAACAGCACCATCGACGGGGTGAAGCTGGTTTCTTCCCCGGGTTGGGCTTGGACAGAAATCTCGTTGGATTGTGTCGTGGTGGTGATGATGGGGGATGGGGGTTGAGACAAAGGGCCTCCTTCGACGGTACTCGCCGCATCAATAGCAACAATGTCGTCGACGTTATAAGAACGCGATGTGGTCGCTGGTGGTGCAGGTGTCGACTCTGTTGTAGGTAGAGATGTGGAGGCGGTGATGGGTGCAGCGACCGTCGTCGCCTTCGGGGCTTCGGTGCCCAGAGCTGACGTGGGGACCGACCGCACGTCACCGATCTTGGGCAGCCCTTGCTCGTCGACAAAGTATCCGTTGTTCCAGAGCGAAGTAAACCCTTGGAGGAAAAACTCGCCCGCCGTTGGCCCTTCTTGGGCGTCGGCGGTCCGGTCTTTGCAGGTGCCGTCGCTCTCCCCGGGCACCTTGAGCCACAGGTTGAAGTCCACGAGCGGATGGCCAGTGTTGGTGCCTGGGGGGGCACCGATGCCCGCCGACCGCGAGTTGCACCACTCGTCCCCCACCGATCCTCGATAGTTGCGAGATGTGTCGAACACACAGTGGAGCCCCCCCGTGGCCCCTGAGATAGTGCTGCAAAACGACATGAGCTGGGCGTTGGTCTTGTAGTTGGACGTGTTGATCGTGATTCCGTGTAGCCGACCGGCCGTCTTGAGGTCGTTCAGAACTTTGGTGGCTTCGTCGCGCTCACTCCAAGTCGCCACGTCCACGTACACTTTGGCGTTGGGGTTGCCGCTCGAAATGAGTCCAAGGGCGACTTTGAGGTTGTCTAGGTAGTTGTTTTCCTTGGCGCAGTAGTCTTTGGACAGCAGACCGATCGCATCCGGTTCCAGCACGTACACCACCTCTCTGGAGCCTACGCGCGAGACGAGACTCTGCACCCACGTTTTGTACTTCGCTGAGTCTTCGTTGTTGCCGTCTCTAGAGTATCCGTCGGTACAGTCCTTGTGGGGCAAGCCGTAGATGACAATGGAAGGCACTTGGGTGCCCGAGCACTTTTGAAGGAGGTCGTTGACGGCGTCTTCCCAGCGATCCGTATACCACGTAGCGACGGCATACTTGCTGAGTTCATTGAGGGCGCCTTGGAGTTTTGGGTTGGTTGAGGCGGCTTGAGTCCACGAGTGGGGGACCAACGCGTTGCAGATGTTGATGGCGTGGGTCCACTGCAGCGTCGACAAGGCCACCAGGACCGCCGAGCTGGCAACAACCGACTTCATGATGTCAACTTAGGAAGTTGCGAAATGAAATGGAATGTCGAGACCATGCCGTTTCGAACGCATATACAGTACATATCGCCTCGATTATACATGTACAACATCGAGTGTACAATGGCCAGGAGTATACTTTAACTCAAAGGCAAGAGCAACAATATGTCGCCATATTCCCCGCATGTTCTATCGGCTTGTCTGCATATATATATCTATCGACACTTCATCTTGATTCGCGACAATCTCACGCACCATATCATGCCACGTTTTGAGTCATTTATAGTGTATTTAGTGCCTGGTGCCGATGGTTGCGCCGACCAATCGAGACAAAAGTGTGGATGATTTACCACGGTGTTTGTTGTATCTAGCTAGGCTGGTGACTCTTTTGGAAGCTTGCCAGTCACCATGAGGTTATCAACTAAATATTTGGCCTCACCAGCTGTGACGACCAACCGCCGACGCACGACGGGGTTGATTGATCTACCTGGTACTACTAGTACTTGCTAACATGTAGAGAGACAACGAAGGAAAAAACACCATCGTCGCTGTTACTTTAATAGTACATACACTCACTGTAAACATTGGGAAAAGCGTGGACGGAATTTTGTTGGTTGAGGGAAAGAATTCTCTGACAGCAACAGTTCCACTGTCGCTCCCAGGGAATTATTTCCGTGAAAAGGACCAGTAACGTTACATGATACCCTCGGAACCCCCCGACCCCGTGTGTTGCTACCGTATTCACCTGTCGTTTGCTATCACTAACAATGGTTGCATCTCCACAGCGTCGACATTATGTTTGGCACTAAAATTAACTGTAACTTCGGTTTTCCCGGATAGCACTTATTGTATCCGGTACTCGGATAAATGTATGTAACCCGGAAAATTTGGTGTTTACAGTTATGTTTACAGTCGAGCATAAAACGAGAAAATTTACAGTTATTAATAGTGTCGCTCCCAACAGTACTACACTGTAGTACGTAGTATCACATGATTTCCCGGATAATAGAGGAATTATCCGTAAATTCGAATAGTACAGTAGTACTCGTAGTAGAAAATTACGGTTGTGTTTACAGTCGCGCAGTGGAGATGCTCTTACTGTTGGAGTCGCGCAGTCGCGTGCAATTCACAACTGTCAAGTAAATCAAGGCACTGCTTCGTCAGGCGCAAACTTCGATGTCACCCACGTTTTCGGCAAACCGTAGAACAATCGAACTACAAGGTGTAAGGTTGTAGAGGATTCACTTCGTCGCATATCTATGATTTGTTCAAAACGCTATCCACCACCTACGATTTACTTGACTGTGAATTGCATCTAACTGTAAAGTCGAAATAGAGGGAATATCACTCGAAATATATTGAACATCGCATGAAATATACCGCCTGTGGGGTGACATATGCCGGACATTAGTCGAAATATACTGCAACGATGTAGGGTCTGGACGAAATATATCGAATGATCGGCGAACATAACGCACATGGAGTGAAGGTCGGTTGTGCATCGGACGAAATATACTGGAAATAACCTGAACTTAATCCTAAAATGGTGTAGTAAAAGAATGTATACGAACCAGGATATGCTGGATGTAGCGCACCATTGGGAAAGGTTTTGGAGTTGGAATAATACACAGTATTCGGCACTGCATATTCGACTGGACTGGACCGACGACTTCATCATGCAAGTAAATACACAGCCTTGGTAGGCATATAGCTGTAGCTGCAATTTATACAGTAGCGTGGCCGACCATTGATGTGCCGATTTTTCTTCATTTTCATTTTCGAATATTTCAGTTGTTTTTTCGAAACCTCCCTTGATAAATACATTTTTGGGTGGATAACGTTGGCTGCATTTTGTCCAATCAAAATCGATTTAGGGTTTGATTGGATGAATAAGTCGGCACATCAATGGTCGGCCGCGTTAACGTACAAGACCAATGTAAGGCGCTCGAACCATTTAATGGTGCACTTGAATCAGCCAATCAAATGTAGTCAAAGTACTGGGAGGAAACCTCCTTAATCTAATACATGAAGTGAATTTTGGCGCCTGTCTTGTTTTGTTTTTGCGCCCGTAATACCGCGACCGCGATTCCGATATGCAAACATTGAGCTTGACAGAGCTGTTCAAGATATTATTGCGAAATGGGAACCAAGTGGCAGCGTTCTCCAAGATACCCTACAACACCCTCATGAAGTATGTACGCGTGACAAAGGCCGGCACCACCACGACACCGAAGCGCCGCGGGCCACGTGAAATACCTCTGCATATGATGTTGCACCTCCAGTTTTTCGTGCACACCTGGTTGTGGGCTCTTAAAATGTCGGATTCGCGTCAATTTCAAAAATGGCACTGAAGTTACTCCCAACTGTATAATTGCATTGCCTGTTCTCGATTTACAGTTAATATTTACAATTGCTGAAATTACATAACCTAACCACATAAAAAATATGCAAATGGATATACAAACTTAAGATCATAGTGTGCTCGTTCTCACAAAAAAATGAAAATGGGTATACAAACGTTAAGCTCATAGTTAGTGTGCAGTTAGAATTTACCGTTGGAGATGCTCTAAGAGCATCTCCAACGGTGTTTTTATTTCTATTTCAAACTGGTTCTCGCTTTTTGAGTACATTTGCTTCGAAAATGGTATTGTTCATTCGATTCGAAATTGGAGTGGGTGCTCAATCGAATGAGCAGCAGAGTATCAATCGACCAATCAAAACACAAAACATGAATCAACTAGCCAATCAAATCCACTCTTCGAATAATTCAACTTCGAATTAGTGTGTGATTGAAATTCGTGTGATTCGGGACGATCTTTGCTTGCAAAAGTCAGTACAAAGAATCGATCGATAGATTTGGCGAATCAGCACAAAAGTCCAAATATTGGTACAAGGACAATAATCATGCCTGTCAAATAGACCTTGAAACACGATTATTTGAATGTCCAATGAATCAACTCCGCTTTGGCCTCATCCAGCACTTATCGGAATTTGAATCTGATGCATCCATGCTGAGCTTCGTTCCTTCCACGGCTGCGTCTCGGAAAAAGTGTTCTTACAGTGGTTTTCTGTACAGCTGTATACTAGTTACTACTAGTATGGATGAACGTGACTTGATGTTGAAGTGCAGTTGTGGGTCGGAGGTGGCCAGCATACAGTACTGCACTGGTACGTTCAACTCATTCGCAAATGTACTATTAATAGTAACGTTACTAGCATCATGCCGCGGAAAGGCGCTTTGTACATACTACTAACGTTAGTAGTTGCTTTGATCACTTGCGCTTGCCGACTTGTCTCGGAGTGACATTGGTGGCTGCGGCTCCTGTTGAACTCTTCTTGTTGGGTGAGTTGCTGTCTGAATTGGAAGAGGGTTCGCGCAGAATTGAAGTTGATTGTTGGACTTCGCGCTGGTAATGCTGCAGCCACGCCTACACACACACCCGCACAGTTCATTTTACAGCAACTATGGTATCCACCGACGACAGTGCAAACAGACACACCTAAATACATAGTATGCGTATAGTAAGTAGTACACTCCGTCGTACTGTAACTTACCGCATGCTCTTTGACTTTGGATTGGAATTGCTGCGCTTCGTCTAGAATTTGAGCTCGCTCTTTGGTCTTTTCGGGTAGCGATATTGCATGCTCTTTCGATGTGTTGTACGCTTGGGACGCTACTACTGGTGGTACTGCAGTGGCTGCAGCTACTGGGGGCGGTGGTCGGTAGCCTTGAGCCGGCGCCACAGACGAATTTCTATCGTTCGTTGTACTGACGGTTGGAATAGCCAGCCTAACCGCAGGAGTAGCAGCCAACAAGTGTACTGGTGGTTGTTGTGCAGGAACTACAGCTGGCCTTGGGTTTTCACGCTCTTTTCTGCCGGCTACGCTAGCCATGACGTGTAGACTCAAGTCCAGGCCAGCTAGCACGGCAGTGGTGATGGTGGCACTGGTGGTTTTGGCTACCATGTCCAGCGTATGGCCGAGTAGTTGCTGCTCGTGCGCTGCAAGAACGAGCTCGTCCGACTTATGAAACGCACAACGGAGCTTGAACTCGACATGTAGCGGCGGCAACATCTCGACACCCCCATCACTGGAAGCTAAGGTGCTAGTAGTTGTAGTAGTAGTACATGTGTCGTCTGCCCAGAACGAATAAATGAGGTTGCCTACAAGAATAATATTGGTTGAATCGTATGTCGATCCCATCCAAAAGTACCTGGGAACGGCGTGCCGTGCAATTTGGCTAGGCCACCGCCGAGAAAAAAGTACGAGTGGCTGTCGTACAATACTGCACGCGACACCGTGGTGTTGCCATGCAAATCTGTGACACGGAGTAAGAGCCGTCCGACGCCCGCGGCGCTGTCCAGCACCAGTTGCTCATGTGCCCGGAGAACAAACACAATGGGTGGTTGCGACGGCACGAGGGTGTGTGTGTACGACTTGACAAAGCAATGGATGGCAGTTGCTAGAGCAGACTGCAAGGTGGAGTGAGGTGGCAACGGTGTCGCAGTAGCACTCGCGAGAGACGATTGGATTGGTGCAGGTGGGAGGGTGGTATTTGCAGTGTCGAGCGTTGGAAACATGTCGGCCAGCACGTCAAAGTAGGCGGCTTCGTGTTGGAGGCCTGCTACACTTAGCGAGTCTGGTACATGGAACGTCCCACAACGATACCAGTCGAGGATGGGTGCAAAGTAGGCAGGGTTGCGGTCGACAAAGATGGCCGTTGTCGTAGGCGCACACGTAGCTAAAGATGCGGCGGTCGTTTGGGTGGATGTGGAGATGATACTGGCGCTGCTTTGTTGTTCGCAGCCACATAGTAGTAGTCGATGGAGACGTTTGTTTGGGTACTTCTCCACCACCCGTTGCTTGCATCGAAAGATCGTGCCCCCGACGTCAAAGGTTACAATTACAGCAGCGGTTGGCTCAATCATTTCGTCAGCGGTAACTAACTCAGGATTTCGCATGGCAGCGGCCACCACGGACGCCACTGAGGGGGGCCTGGGCCGGGCTGGACGAGCAGGGGCGGTTGGTTTCGTAGGAGATGCTAAGGCTGTGGAAGTGGTGAGCTCGGCGGATTTCTTGGTTGGCTGGGACCCATGCGCTGCAATAGCTATTGGAAGATGGGTACTTGAAGACGAAGGCGTGGTAGTAGCTGGTTCGATGGAGTGTCGGTGCACCCACAACGGTTTGGCTGTAGCTGAGTTTAATATTGGTGAACTCGGGGCTGTGTCGTGTTGCATCCCTTCTGGCGGCTGTTGGAGTGGCCGTGCGGGAGGTGTTTCTCGTCGCACTGAATGAGGATGCGTTGCATTCAGACCTTGTGATGGTAGAGTGGTTGATGGTTGTAGCTCGTGAACTCTCTCGGCTTGGGAGTTGTTGATGTCAGGAAGATCATGGTGTGTGTCCTGCAGGTACATTGCTTCCAAGGGTGACACCGACATGCCGTCCACCATGCCAGCGATGTCGATGGTTTGTGCAGCGGGAACTGGCACGTCCACAGCAGCGACCTGATCGTCGGCCATCATGAAAGGATTTCTGCGCCTATGTTTGGCCTCATTATCCGGACGGTAACGAACCGTTACTTGTCCTAATTTTGAAACCGTTATATGCTGTCGCTGCTATGGCCAAGTGCATGTTGCGGCTGGACGAGTTGCCATCGCCAACGACGATGCCGCCATTGGAAGTGTCTGCTCCCGTGTGCGAAAAGAAGAAGCAACGTCATCAACAGCCGTATCGTGAAGCGGACATGCAGCATTCCACAGTGCTCGGCCTCGACTTGCCTACCGTGATGCCGTCCCTGGAATCCAGACCTTCGTCCTTGCAACAGCAGCAACCCCGCCCTCCATCCAAACATGACATTGGGCAGTGCATCTTTCACGCCATCGATTCGAGTTTAGATCCCCCCAACACTGGCGAGTACGGTGCAATGTCAACTAAATTCAGTGTTTTGCTGAACGTGGTCGTGTTTTTTTGATAGAGTGCACCTCGAGACCTTCCGCGCCCACGTCACATCATTCCAAGATATGAAAGCAACGACGCTGCTTGACATGCTCTCGACCGTGCGGGGAACGCACATACCCCGGGTAGATTGCGCCTACCCGACAATGTTCACCTCATCATATTGTTGTTTACGCCAGGACATGCTTCAAAATGCATGGCTCCGCGTAGTCGAAGACGAGCAACATGACTTGCTGGAACTGAGCAACTCGACTCCCCCGCGGTCCCCTCGCACCGCCACGTCATCGCCGTCGTCTCCTCCGCGGAGTGCGCGGCCCAGCACAAGGTAGGTACTTGATCCAACAAAGGAGTCCAGCCCTTGCATGATATGGTCATCATATATGCATGGTCCGCCTTCTCTAGCGGCGCGTCGACCAAGCTATCGTTGGCCAAATCCAAGCGAAAACAAGCGGAATACGACGCCAAGTTACTCGCAAATCGACTTGCGCTGCTGCAGCAGGAAGAGGTCAAAGCGTGGCGGAAAATCGAGCAAACCCGCGAAAAGGCGGCCCAAATCCTCGAACACCGCGAGGAAATTGTGAAAAAACAGCAAGACAAGTACATGTTGCTGCATGAAAAGGAGCAACATGTGCGCGTGGCCACGAAAAAACACAAACTCGCCGCCAAGGTAAGCAACGTCAAATCGACCTTCATTCGTCGAACGATGGACGGAATGTATGTCGTTCCCGTCCACGACGAAACGGAATGTATGTTGTTCCGGTCCACGACGAAACGGAATGTGTGTTGTTCCGGTCCACAACGAAACGGAATGTGTGTCTTGACTGGTTTGCATTATGGACAGAATGTTGAGTGTTTTAAGGGTACTACAGGATACATGTTGTCTTTCCAACGAGGAGTACTATAGTAGTACGATGATAATATGATGCTATGGACTGTAACCAACGCTACATATGTTGTTTATTGCGCGTGCACGGTGTATACGTATAGACGTCGGTGATTCGAAAGCGGCAAGCAGCAATCAGCGTCATCTCGAAGAAGTACCAGGAAGTGGAGTCTGTCAAGACCGAGCGAAGGCGGCTCAAACAAGAAAAGGAACAGCAAGCGATGGACGACGTGAAACGGGCCAAGGAAATGCGCCAGCGGGTTCGGCAGCAAGAAGACGAGGTAGGTAGGGGGTTGAAATAGGTGATTTTCAAATCCTTATATACAAGTATGGAGGGAATGAGGCGACATGGAAGATACAACCAATCGAATGATGAACAACCAAACTGTTTGGTGATTTTAATGGATTTGACATTCGTATTGTGCTTTCGAGTGAAATTTCGTGTTGTGGCGTGGTTTCTCGTTGGAATTTAAATCGATTTAATTGGCTACCTCAGATGAGCTCAACATTATTAGCCAATCAAAACCTTATCAATGAAATTCAACCAATCAGATCGATTGTGCATCGGTTTGGTCGGCGCGATTCGCTTGCACCCCTCCCCAAATTTGTATCAAATCGACAATAATTGTGAGAATTTTTAATGACCAATTAATACAATGACAAATCACTGCCTCAAATGTGACTTGAAGTTGGTCATAACGTATGAACAACTTAACTATATGTGATATATGATGGGTCATGTATAGATGCGCAAGAAAAAAGTCAAAGAGAAGATGACTGTGGAGAAACAAGTGGTGGCGCGGTACGTCAGGGGGGGGATGGAGTTGTTGTCGAATCGGACTTGCTGTGCAACAATTTATATACGAGTTGCAACGTTCATACTGATGTTGATTGGTAGGTATCAAAAGAACGTCGAAGACGAGGAAACCCAGTGGCGAGAGCAACAGAAACGTGTGGCCGAAATGGAAAGGGCAGAGATGGAGCTCATTCAACGGCTGCAAAGCACCCAACTCCTCCAGCGACAAGCGTACGACGAGCTGGAAAAGGCGCTTGTACGCACCGAAGTGTAACAAGATCCCATAAAGTGAAGTGCACGACCATACCGGTCTATTATTGTTAATTCGCAAAAAACTTCCAAATTTCGAGGGGGTTTCGTTCGAATCAATATTAACATCACACGCTGGAAGTTGTATGCCTGCATGCTTTCTGTAAGAGCCAATCAAAATCAAATCAAAATTGGATTAGCCAATAGCGTCGATTCGTGATTCGATTCGACGGCACCGAACCCACTTAAAAACATAAAGTACACCAAGCAAATAAATACACCGTAGCATTGCTTATGCATAATACACCCCACAAAGTTAACCTCAAGCTGGTGGTGCACTTTACGCGTTCGCTTGTGAAAAACATAGATTATTGTCGATTTGATACAAATTTGGGGAGGGGGTGCAATCGAATCGCGCCGACCAAACCGATCCACAATCGATCTGATTGGTTGAATTTCATTGGGAAGGTTTTGATTGGCTAATAATGTTGAGCTCATCTGAGGTAGCCAATCAAATCGATTTAAATTCATACGAGAAACCACGCCACAACACGAAATTTCACTCGAAAGCACAATACACCAAGCAAATAAATATTGTCAAGTCGGTTCGTAATTGGAGTCGCCAGTAGAATCGAATAGTAGACTTGGCAAATCGATTTGAGAATGAAATAGCCAATCAAAATCCATTTTAACCCGTCCCCCTTTACAAGATTTCTGAATGGTTCAGCCAATCAATACGTTTTCTAAAAAAACCATTTCAGATTGAACTCACTGAAAAAAATATTGTCGATTTGATACAAATTTGGGGAGGGGGCGCTGCAATCGAATCGCGCTGACCAAACCGATCCACAATCGATCTGATTGGTTGAATTTCATTGAGAGGGTTTTGATTGGCTAATAATTTTGAGCTCATCTGAAGTAGCCAATCAAATCAATTTAGATTCCAAACGAGAAACCACAACACGAAATTTCACTCGAAAGCACAATAGTGAATACAACATATATTGCCAAGTTCATTCGAAATGGGTTTCACTTTTGAACAGCCCAATTTGTATGAGAAGGACAATACTGGTAGTATTCATTCCTCTTGCAGAATCACGAGGGTGCGTCCAATAAGCAGTTCAAAGAAGGTGGAATGTGCGGGCATTGTATCCTGGCCATACAAATAACACCTGTCACATTGGTGTACTTATCCAGAAGTACACATCATTCCGACCAGCGAGTTTCTGTCACTATTATTACTACATACTAGTAGTAGGCTGACAAAATACGCTTCCATCGTAGCTTTCTTGTGCTGGACGTGAAGTCTGGCGGTCATGAGACACGCGAGACTCACGTCAAGCTCACTGTGCTCCACAAAGAATTGCACCAAGTTCAGTTGTCCCCACTTGGCAGCGACAAAGAAGGCTGGTTCCACGACATCATGCCACGTCATGTCCTGCTCGTCGTGACTGGCGACTCGCAACCAGCGACGACAGTGTACCAACAGGCCAAACATCGACGTGTGCCCGAATTTGGCGGCTTGGAGGATGTCGTGCACTCTCAAAGTTTTATTAGTTAATAAACCATTTATCCATTCTTCATTATATAATATAATATTTTCATAATATTATTTGTTTTTTTTTTAATTTTTAATTTTAAATAATTTTTTTAATTGAATATTTTCTATTTTTTTTATTAATTGTTTTTTGATTTTTTAAATTTAATTATGCGTAACCATTGTTGCTGCGTGAATTAAAGGTGAAACTGGTGTAGGTTCTATATTTAAAAAGTATATATTCATTTTTAATAATATTTTTTAAGAATTAAAAATAAGAAAAAAATTATATTCAACATGCTTTTCTCTGGATGGCGGTGCAAGAGGAAATGGCTGGCGATGTCAGCGTGGCCAAATTTAATGGCGAGACGCAAACATTGCCCGTGCAAGTCTTGGGTTATAGACGTTGATACTTTGTTGAACCAGTTCTGAACGAGATTCAAGTGACCACGACGAGTCGCTGCAGTGACCAGCGATGGAATGTCTGCAAAGGAGAAGTCAATCGCACTGGTGAAAAACTCCAGAACAGCCAAGTGGCCGTGACGGTTGGCGCAGGTGATGGCTTGGCGGATAGATACCTCACTGGTGGTGAGAGGTAGTGCCCACTGCACGACCTTCAGAGAGCCTCGTCTGGCTCCTGCAACCAAGGCTTCGGACGCCAGCCTTGGTGTGTGAATGCTGGGTTGAGCTGCAAAGTACTGCAGAAGCGTCAAGTGTCCATACCTTCCAGCCATATGCACGGCGTCGTAGCGAAGGGGATGGCCGTGACGCAGCAGCCACTGCACACTCAGCACGGAGCCCCCAAGAATTGCCAACAGCATGCGCTCACCAGGAGGTCGGAACAAACCTGGTCGAACGGATTGCAATCGATCGAGTGTTGGCACATGGCCATAGTACACTGCATGACGCACCAGGATGAGACGCATATGCGGCATGACGTCCATAACTAGCGCGAGCCGATGGAGACTGTGCTCTGCCAGCCACGGGATCAGGATACCGTCGACTCGAGTGAAGAGAGGCAGCAAAACACCGGGCGCGGATTGAGCTTGGCTAACACATAGTATAGGGAGGGGGTCGGACGGGAGGAGGTCCAGAGTACGAAGTGGTTGAAACACGAGCATATCTCCATTAAGACCACGTTGGAATCGACAGACCAGTGTGAGCAAGTCATGAGACCGCAGTGCGTCCAGGATGATGGTTGTCATGTTGAGAAGTTCACAGTCATAAAGCAAACGGCGACAAGTTGTCCGAGACGTTTGAATTTATACTCCACGTAATGAAATCCTGCTGTCGATACTTATCGTGACCATTATAGATGACAAATCAATATACTTTATCGGTCATTTTGGCAAATATATTTCATATCCTTTTGCCAACTGAAAAGTGCGTCGAGTTCGGCGGCTCGCCCTCTTTTCTCGCCTCGTGTATACCTACTGGTCGTGCATCATGACAGCATCCTTGCCATCGTCGCTCAACACCTACAACACATACATATATATCCATCATCCATGCCTTTATGGAATCCCCCCAGTCATACCGATCGCAGCAGCGCCATGGAGCACGTTGATTGGCCGACGTGCGCCAGTTTGGTCCAGCTGTCGGCAATCCCTCGTTGCGGCGAACATCGTTTCTGAAACACAGCGTCGGTCACGTGAATCAAGTTGTCCTGCCATTCAATCGACGCCACGGACACCCGCACCAAGTCCCCTGGCACCACCTATATATTTTTTTATACTAAAAAGCAAACAGCAATATAATGAAACCTCTTCAGCTAAGGCAAGCTCTGGGGTAAACGTGAACAGCACCACGTTCTCCAGCGTAGCGCACGACACTCCGTCGTCTAGCACTTGCAGTACAATCGACAGCTGGTTCTCGTATAAGCTGGTGTGGCGGTCGCGCCACAACAACACCAATGGAGTCAGGCCCAATGTATACATGCCAGCTTTGCAGTAAAACAACAACCCGTCCCTATGAAATCGAATCATATTATTGTCGATATGATACAAATTTGGGGAGCGGGTGCAATCGAATCGCGCCGACCAAACCGATCCACAATCGATCTGATTGGTTGAATTTCGTTGAGAAGGTTTGATTGGCTAATAATTTTGAGTTCTTCTTAAGTAGCCAATCAAATCGATTTAAATTCCAACGAGCAACCACGCCACAACACGAAATTTCACTCGAAAGCACAATAAATAGATATTATTTTTCCAACCAATGATACGCCGGTGACATGGGCCAAGGCTTTGGCCCATTTTGTAGTCCCAGTTCAACTATTTATATTCTATTTCAGTATGGTATTTACATTGCTTGGTATACAATTGTGCCTCGGGTCGATTTCTCGAATAAACTGCCCAGTATAAAATTTGGGTGAAAAGGACAATAGTAGTATAGCCACATCGATTCCAAACAGTATAAATGAAATGTCTTTCGAGAATGAATCAATGAACCGCCCAAACAGCCAATCAAATTGCACGTTCTGGTGACTTTCCGCCAATCCAAAGTACTGATTCAGTTCAGGCCGGCAACATTGGAATATACTAAACACTGTATCGTATAGTTTGTACAAGCTTAAATAGGGTGAAAGACAATTGGCGAATTGACACTATAAAGGCCAAATTTGGGTAAAAAGTACAATATAAAATAAGCATATATATCAAATGGAAGTACATGTAGCCACCACTTATCGAACGAACGAGCCTCCACCACATATCAAAACAAAGTACAACAGAACCAATATATATATATATATATATATTGCAAAGCATCTGACGGGATACCCGGGTTCGATCACGACACATATAAAAAGTACACATGTGTATTGTGTAGACTGGTTATGTTGCAACTTGTTCAAGACATCAACATTGAAAGTCCCAATAAACGACGGCCGTAAGCTTATAAATAAATAAAAATATGACATTATATTATAGTTCATGGGAAGGTCGTTGGAACCGCGACGTACTTGGTAAAGGGGTACGTGGTGGAGTACGCAGTGTCCAATCCGTCGAGCGTACATTCATATGCTGGCACGGGCTACGATTTATAAGGTCAACAACATGCTGCTATATAACGGATGCATTCAAGGAAATCGACTTGTTTCGACAATCCAATTCTATATAATTGATCAAAATCTCGCAAACGAAAGTAAGCTCGTCAAATTCTTCCAGATAGAAGAATTTTGGGGCAAACCCAAATTCAATTCGTTCTGGAAATATCAATTTATAGAGGCTTTGATGTATCAATTTGCATATATTTTGGTTGCCTATGCGAAGATTGATCTTTCGACTTCGCATCGTACAATGTTGTGGAGGGTTTTATTTTATTATTGGTATTACAAAAGAAAAAGTATGTTTGCGAGATTTTTGGCAGTCATCCAATGATCACACTAAGCATTATATTTTGCACATTGACAAGCAGAACAGAACACACAAACACTCCTTTCGACAAGAACAGTACCAAACAAACCAACGAAGTCGATTTGAACCAATCAGTTTGTAGAAAAGCACGATTTAACATATAAATGGTGTGAACATTCAAATAGTGTGATAAACATCACCATGGGTCGTACATACAAAAAATTCAGTATAAACAATCGATCGATGAATTTGGCGAAATACCAGTAACACACAAGTCGGAATTGTAGCTGAAACACCACGTTATGAATTTCTATATAGAAACATACAAACGAAATAGAATGAACACGATATCTACCAGGATAGCGACTATGAACTAAATTGAATGCAAATATACTGTTTCCAGAGACAGTAATTATTCCCATCTATATAATAATTAAAATATCACAACCAAAAACGTCAACTCTACCTCGAACGCATACGGGTTTGCATTCGATACTTTGGACGCGGTGGTTTCGGCCAGCTTGTCACGAAGCCAATACAGTCGAAAGTCGGCCGAGCAGTCGTACAAGAGGTAGCCCTAATATTATAATATCACAATATTATTCAAAATTGGTAGAAATGAAGGAATATGGTATATATATATACGACGATGGCTACCTTCCAGCACATGACGTCGAGGACGTAAAACGTGTCGTTGGCTTCGTGGAAGATGCAGTCAAGAACGCAGTACTGGTCTTGCCCGGTATTCGTTTTGCGCGAGCCTAATTATAACAAATGAGTTATAACTCAACCCTTCTCAAAAGTGATTCAAATTGGGAAGTAAAATGTCCTGGAACGTCAGAATTATAACATAATTAAACAACATTATAACATATTTTTAAGTAAAATGTCCTTGGAACGTCAGAATTATAACATAATTATAACAAATGTGCAAGTCGTACGAACTTACCACATGGAAGGGTCGATGGGAATTTCTTCAAGATGCTGCCACTTATGGTGCGCGCGACCGTACTTCCGCTACATCGCGCATGTACACAGATGAATCAACGACAGATCATGATGCGCACGACATCGTTACTTGGAGGAAATCACAAGACACCGTTTGCCGTCTGGCCGCGGCAGGGCAAGCCATCCGTCGTCGTGGTCGAGTTTCCCAGACGTCGACGATGCTTGCACCAACGTCGATGGGACGTCCACCATCCATTCGGGATGCATCAACTGGTTCGAAAAGTGACTGCGACGGGCTTTCACACGGTCCTCACGGGTTTTCTTGCGGCTCTTGGATGCCGCCGTTGAAATCTCCATCTCGGCGTCCATCATCGTGATCGTCAGCTCTTCCAGTTCGTTGTCGACACTTGGTAGCGCCAACGAACGCACGTGCATCGTAAGATCGCGACGAGCTTGTTTCTGTCTGTCCATGGCATCCTGCCGTCGCTTCTCTTGACTCTGGTCCGCCGACAGACCAAGCCGCTTCCACGCTTCCCGCCGCGCACTCATGTTTTCGAATACTGTCCGGATAATCATATTTGCATGCACAATATTAATAGTAATAAATATATTTGTTTTTTTAATATTGTCAGTGTCAAATATGACAGCTACGATACCGCATACAGACTCTTACACGTGTGATCACCTACGATATATACATGTGAAAGCCCATTATAATTCGCTTAACTTACCCTCTTATGCTTTCATAACTTACTCTCTTAAATGCTCTCGAGATCATTGATTCTAAATTTTAGACAAAATTCAAATATTACTACAACCGTCGTCATCTCAAATAACCGGATTGTCTATCATTATCCGGAACTCGAGCACGATTGGATGCAATGGACCAATCCAACACCATGATGCAATGTCTCCACCAATCAAGCGTCGTTCTAAACGCCCGGATATGCGATCCATTATCCGGATACATTCTCTGATCCAACAAAATGGACATCCCAGTTTGAACTTCGAGCAACGAGAATGACCACGTCGTCCGCCAAGGAAAAGGGTGCCAAGCAATTCCATCAGCAGAAGAAGGTGATTGAGCGCTTGCTCACGAGTGCCAATGGTTCGTGCGATGGCTATCTACCTCCACATGTCCAACCATCTTCACGTAGATGGCGACTTGAACGAGCTCGAAGCGTCGGTCCGCGCCATCCAAGACTCGACGGCGAACGTGACAGTGGACGAAATCTTGACCGATTTCAAGGACGCGCACAAGCGCTCTGCCATTCACTTTGCCGCGCTCAACGGTCGCCGCAAGGTGCTGTCGTACATCTTGGAGCACGCGCCTGGTGCGTTGAACCCAGTCGACGAGGACGGCCGGTCGCCATTGTTGTATGCCATCAAGGCCAACGAATTCGCCACGGCTAAGCTTCTCTTGGTACAGTTTATCATATCATACTCCTCTAGATCCGTCAATACCATCGCGATATCTCTCTCTCTCGTACTCCTTATGTTCCCATCGACTTCCACAGGACTAACATCATGATGCAGGACGCCGGGGCGGACACGAACGTGGTCGAGTCGAATGGCACGTCCTGTCTGCATGAAGCGGCGGCCCATGGCTCTGTCCGCGCGTGCAAGGCGCTCCTGGAGCGCGGCGCCAACCTCAACGCGTCCACAAAGAACGGCACTCCGCTGCACATTGCGGTACGTGTGGTTCAAATCATAAGCCTCGAATTTGTTTTCTATATATATATATGTATATATATTATTATTATTTTCTAGATAGTCTATGCTACGTTCGTTGTGTTGTCAAATGATACTCTATTTTATTGTTGAAACATGAGATAGGAATAGATACTATATAAAGAATACTATTTTAAAAAGTGCTGACGTGGCGTTTGAATATTGTCCGATTTTCGCCATTTCCTAAAAAACACTTTGTGCTGCTTAGTCTTTGTACTACTAGTCCAGTTTTTGTGTACGCAACGAGTGGCCCGGCGGGGATTGTTCATCACACTAATTGAAGTCACACACACTAATTCGATGTATATAATGGTTTTTCCTGCAATTTCTGATTGGCGAAATCCTCGTCTGTACATATATACTATATTGGTGTCGATTCGTACTCCATATTGCTCCAGTTTAGAATATATACAATACTTTATGTAGGTAAGCGAAGGACACGACAAGGTGGTGGATACCCTCGTGGAAGCCGGCGCCGACGTCAACACGCGCAACGCCCACGGCATCACGCCGCTGCTTCTGGCCACGCTCATGCACAAGCCCCATGTAGTCGCCAACTTACTGCGTCACAGTGCCGACATGCAGGTATATATATACTTATTCATACAAATATATATATAATATACATACAGATATATATATATATTATTTATATATACAGATAAGTATATATATATTATATACATATACATATATATATATATATATATATATATATATGTGATAGATGCATATATATATATATATGTGATAGATGCATATATATGTAATAGATGCATATATATATATACATGTAATAGTTGCATATATATATATATGCATCTCCAAGACATATATATACCCCAAGTACACTCCAAAACAGTACCAATTGCATACCATATTTACCTGTTATATTGTACTTTTGATGGTACTGGGTTTTTGTGTGTCGAATATGATACAAGTTGAGTTGGTTATGTTTGGAGTTCCTGTCACACTATTTGATGGATGTTTCAAATAAGGATGATTTGCACATCAACGATGGGCTGTTGTGTTTTAGTGTTACGGTTTTGAGTGTCTCACACTATTTGATGGCGATAGATTTGCATTTTGCCAGGGGTCACTGCGCTGCACGTGGCGGCCGAGACGGGCTTTGACGACGTCGTCGCCATCATGTTGCAAGAACGTACGGACGAAGCTATTAAAATTGCCAACCAACGCACGGATGCCGGGTACATATAATATATATATATATAATATATACATATATATATATATATATATTGTCCGTTGAACCAAGATTTGGATTTGTGGATTCGTTTGCTAATATCGATTTGTAGTACTGATGTTTGTAAGATTTGACCAGTGTCGCATAAATAGCACATTTGGTGTGGAATGAATGGTTGACGCAAGAATTTGATTGGGCACATTGTTTTTTGTCCTGACTTCAAAGTGTCCAGGTGTTACACTAATTTATGTCACACACTAATTCGATGCTGAATGGTTGAGAATTGGATTCGCGACTTGGCTTGAATTTTGTGGGTTTTGATTGGTCGATATCGATATTGTTGGCCGATTTGACGCTCGTCATTCGATGGATCCCTCGACTTTCGAATCGAATCGACAATATATATATATATTTACGACGACAAGACAACTGACGATATCATGGCCAGAGTCACGCCGCTGCAGTTAGCTGCTGGGTTGGGCCATGCTGACGTTGTGGCGCTTCTGAAGCCCGTCACCAGTGGCTTTGAACAGCGCGACACTTTGGAATTGATTTCTACGGAACAAGCTCGCGTACGTAGGACCGACACCATCGAACATTCCAAAAATCAACGCAAATACTACTGCGAACGAAATTCGAGTGTTTTTCGCAATAAATTGAGTGTTTCTTGCCTAATTTTTCGACTTTTTTGGGTCGTTTAGGTGGCGACGGAATCTGCAGAACCGTATCAAGCGCCTGTATCGGCCAAGAAAAGCGACGACATCCCCACGCCCTCGGACATTGTCGACGACGCTGTCGAATTGGTAACTTTATAGTGCAATTTGCATTATTGTGGATTCGGGACAGATTTCCAGACCCCGTCGAATCGAATCACGAATCGACGCTATTGGCTACTCCAATTTTGAATGGATGTGATTGGCTCTTACAGAATGAAGGACACGTATATTCAACCAATCAGAACTCCAGCGTGATTCAATATTGATGAATCAAACCGCGCGAATTTTGGAAATCTATAGCGAATTCACCATATGATAAAACATCTACCTATGGTCGTTTTACACCAAAATGTGAACTTTTTTATGCGGATTCGCCACATCCATGGATCGAGTTTTTTGTACTGACTTTTTGTATGTAAACAATCCTGTGCTGTGAAGCGCACACTAATTCCAGTCCGTCACCTTGTCAATCTTGTTGCCCAATAGATACTTTTCTGCATTCTGATTCATACATCTACCGAGTCGTATGTATTCTATTCCCCATATGTAAAATACAACAAGTATTGTCGATTTGGTAGAAATTTGGGGAGGGGATCTGATTGGTTAAATTTCATTGAGAAATGGGTTTTGATTGGCTAATAATTTTGAGCTCATCTGAAGTAGCCAATCACATCGATTCAAATTCCAACGAGAAACCACACCACAATGAAATCGAAAGCACAATATGTGAAAACACTTGCTCACACAGAAGTGTAATTGACGATGGATAGCCTGAGGACATTCCAGTGGACGAAGCCGCCCAAGCCACCGCCACTCGACTCAAAGACGACGGCAACAAACTGTTTGCGCAAAAGAAATACATCGACTCGATTGATTTGTACACGGAAGCGATTGGTCTGACCCCTCGGGACCCGCTCTTGTACAGCAACCGATGCGCGGCGCTGCTGGCGGCCGGCCGCGCCGCCGACGCTTTGCGAGACATTCGCCTTGCCAAAGTGGTGCGTGTCCGTTGACATTTCTGATTCCGTCACGCGACGTTCTGATTCGATCCATGTCGTGTCTTGTGTAGCTCAAACCCGACTGGCCCAAAGCGCTCTTTCGCGAAGGTCAATGCTTGGAAGCGTTGAAGCGGTACGAGAATATATATATGTATATATATATTAATGTTGCTCAAGCTATAAAATATATGTATGTATATTTCGTTTCGTATGTATATTGATGTTGCTCATGTATATATATATATTTCGTTTCGTGGATACTTTAATGATTGCTTGGATTGTAGATACGAAGACGCGGCGTGTGCGATGTGGGCGGCGATGCAAATCGCGCCAGACGACAAGTTGATCAAGAAGCGGTTCCAAAACTGTGTCAAGCGTGGCCGCGAAGAATTTCAAGCGTCTGGGGCTGCCACGTCATCGCCGTAATACAATTGGAAGTTTCATTTTTTTGTCTTTCCAAGTTGCAATGTACCAATTATAACGGGACCTGTGGTGTCATGAATCGAAAGGAACGCACTCATACTAGTGTTAATAACGTTAACGGTAGTTCATAGCAATTCCATTCAAAATTCGAGTCCAAATCGGAGAGTGTACTTGAGGTGGTATGAATAGCCTTACTTCGCTTCCTTCACAAGGTAGTTAGGCCTGCCTCAGCACACCTGGCCGAGTTGTTTTCACCACGATTCTCGATAAATACCTAGCATTTCACCCGGATATATAGCTTCATCCTGTTTAAAGCACCAGTAACTAGCGTTGCATTTTGAAGCGGCACATTCTACATGTATTTTTGCCTAAAACATTATAGTAGCAGTAGCCAGTGACATATCTGACAAGCGTGAATCAATTTACCCGAAACTTTATCAAGTCCATTTTGTTGGTTCATGATATACTATTACTATCAACTTTATCGATGGGCGTTCATTTCGAGTCGGCCAAAGCTATAGTCGTCAGACTGAGAGCTTGTTGGCGTGGGCACCTTGGTCCTTGTTCGTGGGATCGTCGTAGAGCCTCGGTGGGGTACGCGCACAAAGAGGGACGACGTGGGGTCGGCGCTGCTGCTGCTCGTTCTGGAGCAACTTTCTCGGCAACCCCCAGAGATAGAAGGGGCGGTCGTTGGCTTTTGGCCCACCACTGCCAAATGGGTTCGAAAGAATGGCGGTGGCAAACTCGATTGCCGATACATGGGCTCCGTTGGAACTTCTTCATTTGGAACGAAAGTTGTAGTCGATTCAAGTGGACGGGTGTCACTGCGAGGATGGTAGAGCTGCTGAGGGTGCTTGAGGGGGGACGAAATAGTAGTAGTCATCGTCGTAGTAGTAGTAGCACTACTCAGAATGGACTCTACAATAATAGGATAAGTTACACGTGAGCCACAATTCTCGATCGAAAACAATAGACCAAGACCTTGTTGGTTGGACAAGATATCCCGGGTCAATGGCGCCAGCAGCGTCGTATCTGGAACCAGTCGTCGACGACCATGTTTGGACGACTGATTGCTTATTCGAGATATCGTCGGGTTGTCCTGGCTTCGGTGTCGAGTAGTTGGAGGGTCGACTAGATCATCATGTTGGAATCCCGGCTCTTTATCGAACGCTACAGTCCTGCCCCTCAGAGGGGGAGTGGTTCTCATACAAGAGCCTCGGGACGGGAGGGGATGATTGCTTCCGCCCATTCTCATGGGGGTGGTGGTGGTGTGAGGCCGAGGAAGGAGGCCCGGGACAGATCTCGACCTGGCCAGTGTATCCAGTGACGTGGCAACGTTTTGGTTGTGGGACGTTGGCGGCCTACTCCCGTCAAGTAATTGTGTGAAACAAATATTTATATATATATACTATCTATGACGATATGCTACATGTAAAATATGGCGCGAAGTACCTGCGATACTGAATGGGCAACCCCAGCAGGGCTTGGAATTTGTGCGACGGCTGTGCCTGGTACACTTCGCACTCGGGTGTTGTGAGTTCCACCGCGTGGTGAAAAGGAACAGCGTACTGCCCCGACACCAATTTGCTCGCTGCTTGCTGGGTCATCGGTCGTATATTGTTGTTATTTGCAGGGGCAACGTGATGCTCCTGATTGCGGCGCTGCCGAGTGTGGCTAGTTTGAAGGTATCGGCGACTGTCGCTGCTGTCGGCAAAGTACGGGTCGAACGGTGTGTACAAATCTCTCAAAAACGTTTCCCTTGCTAAAGTTAGCCGCGCGACTTCGTCTTCAAATTCCGCAGCGTGTCTACAATCATACAGTAGTATGGTTTTCTCAATCCAAAATCACACTATTATCTATAGTAAATATCTAGTAGGTTTGTCGACGATTTCTTTGATTTCTATTTTTTTAAATATAAATATACTTTCTATGCTTTTCCCTATATATATTTTAAATATAAATATACTTTCTATGTTTTTCCCGCTTTAACAACTCCTACTATCTGGTCGATGGCGACATGTGCGCTTGCCAGATTGCTACTACATCTTGGCATGGTTGTTGTTTTTTCTCTATTCTGTACTACTATCACAGTTGACTTTATGATGAACCTACTAGGTTCAGTACCTGGATCGCAAATCGTCTGCTAGCATGTGCCGTCGATCAGACACCAGCATCGCAGCCCGCCGCTTCTCCAGTTCATGGCACTGCCGCGCCCACTCGGCCGATTCCAAGTCTGCCATCGCCATGTGCTGACGTTCCGAGTCCAGCTCAAGCCACCACTGCCTGGACAAAAACTCCTCAAACTGCATTCCCGCGCATTCCCTCTCGATGCGCTTTTGGCTGGCGTCAGCTTGCCGCCGCAGGGTCTCGTCTATATAACATGACTATTCTTAATCTGTTCCTAGATCCTATTTTATTTACGATCGATACGAGCTTGGGTTATTGTTGCTTAGTGACGTAATATTTATTGCAAACACTTGTGGATTCGGTACAACATTATTTTCATACCCCAGACGACTCAAATTGCGTAAATTAGCGAAAATAACCCAAGCTATATTTATTGCAATATTGTGGATTCGGTACAAATTATTTCCAGACGACTCGAATCGAATCTCGCTCGCCGAATCGAATCACGAATCGACGCTATTGGCTACTTCAATTTGGAGGGTATTTGATTGGCTCTTACAGAAACAACAAGTATATATTCAACCAATCAGAACGAACTCCAGCGCGATTCAATAGTGTTTCGACAAACCATATGAACTTTGGAAGTTTTTAGCGAATTCTTCACAATACTCAATATGGATGGATTCAACAATTGATTAGGATTTAAATGGTTGGTTTGGTGGTAATACCTCGTTGCCATGTCAAGATGCGCTTGACTTCAACTTGCCGCGCACGTTTTTGAGCTTTCCGTTCGTCTTCTCGAAGTTGCTCGGCTAGCAGCAGCGCCGCCACCCGCTCTTCTTCGGCTATTCGAGCTCCTAATAATTTCCAACACGATATATATTTGGTCATGATATTGTCACAAGTTTTATTATCGTACGATCCACAGCATCGAGCTCTAGCTGCCGCAGTCGTTCCACTTCCCGAACCTAAACAAACGTAAACCCAGCAGCATACTGTCACCACTTCCCACAACACCCGAAACCCAGCCGTACCTCGCGCTCTTCGACTTCCTCGTCGCCGTTGTCGAGCCCGCACCCAGATACCCACCCACTAGCCGCGACAGCCGCCGCTTCCTTTGTCCCGGGCATCGTGTTGAAGAAATATGTGACACTGAAATCGCGTGCCGGTCGTACGCGGGGGCTCGATGTCACATCCTGATCGTCCCCGTCGTCATCCTACAAATAACAGTCGTGTGCGTATATATTGTGACATGCGCTTGAAACAACTAGAAATTTATATCAATATACTAACCATAATTTCGAAAAAAAACAACATTTTTTTGTGTTTTCATAATATAATTCGATCGTATTGTGTAAATAAAAAATAGTACCTAAAATTAAAATAAAATAGTACCTAAAATTAAAATAAATGTAATAAATTGAATACAATGATCCCTATAAAGTTCGCGTTTGTTTCGATTGCATCGCGTTCGTCCTTTTGCTTGGTTAAATGCGTTTTTTACTTCTGTACCAGCAATATGAATCAGATTTTTCACCCCAAATCTCAACATTTGATTCGCCAATACCAGTTGATTCGTCGATAAATAGATTTTTCAATTTGTACCGAAGAATACACAAATACCATACGACGACAGCATGCACAAGCTCACCATCAGCCGCATGAGTCGAGCTGCGTCGTCTTCGACTTCCATTTGCTTTCGATTCGACACCAACTGCGACGCTTCCCACTGCTCCCGCAGCACCCGCTCCAGGGCCGCGGCGGTACCGTCGGACGACCCTGCTGAGTCCTGCAGCGGCATCGAGTTCTTCCGTTCAGCGTTGTTTGCATCAGCGGGACTGGCGCTTTCGTCCGCCACCTGTGTATGTCATCATATAGCCAAAATTGGCATTTAATGGAGAGTCGATACCTCGATAATGGCGACGGCGGGTACGTTGTCGGACTCGAAAGAGAGCAGCACCGCCGGCGTCATACAGAAAAGCACGGGGGGTGGCAGTCGTCCCATCTCAACCACCAGTTCAAATCGTTTTTGACGATGCAACATCGCCATCTACAAATGTATCAATATATATATATATATACTAGTATATACCAGAACAAGGAAGAGACTTTCAATACATTCACAGCGACCAACATGTCATATATATAAATGTATGTATGTATGTATGTATGTATGTATGTATGTATGTATGTATGTATGTATGTACGTATGTATGTATCCATATATCATGAAGTGGAGGCATGAGAACACTACATGTATATTCACATCGACTTGTTTATTAATATATATATTTATCCAGCAATACATACATTCAACATCGATATCAATCTATGATAAAAAGGGAAACGCAAAATATCTGTATCGACGTATATCACGAAGGAGGGGGAGCTGCGAACAATACATCCTATATATACATATATATATCATAAAGAAAACACAATATAGCTACGTCAATAAATATCACGAAGGAGGCGAGGCTACAAATAACATATGCTACATGCATATATATTGTAATGTTTATTCTAAACTGAAGCGACATGGAGAATGAATCGACACCACCAAACGTACAGTAAGATATCGGCAGTAGGATTTAGCCAATCAGATAGCAGGAAACCATCATTAACATTGAATTAGTCTGATACATAAATTAGTGTGATGAGACTCACAGGACGACTTTTTACAAACAAAAATTAGTACAAAGAATCGATCGATAGAGTTGGCGAATCAGCACACCAAGTCCAAATTTGGGTAAAAGAAAGACAATATATACAGAGAAGTGCAGTAGTCTCTACCTTTTGCTTGAGAAAGTCAACGCGAGCCGAGTCTGCAGCGTGGGTCACTTGAAAGTACCAGTCTTGGTACGTGCTTTGACTGTCATTGGAGGTCGATGGCGGGGGGGGTTCGTGGTGAGTGAATATTTGGATGGCATCGTAAAAGGCCAAGTCGACCCCCGCCCGCGACGCCGCTGCTTTTACCTATCATGACCATATTCACTGTCAACACTAAAATTGGATACATCGCCAAAAGAATACATCGCTTAAATTGTGCTTTCGAGTGAAATTTCATTGTGTTGTGGTGTGGTTTCTCGTTGGAATTTAAATCGATTTGATTGGCTACCTCAGGTGAGCTCAAAATTATTAGCCAATCAAAACCTTCTCAATGAAATTCAACCAATCAGATCGATTGTGGATCGGTTTGGTCGGCGCGATTCGATTGCACCCCCTCCCCAAATTTGTATCAAATCGACAATATATCGTCTAGTTTTGCATCTGCAATATGGTCGGTTAAAAGACGTACGGTGGAATCATGGGCAGCTTCGTGGGCTTCGGTTTTGAGAAACTGAACTCGTGCAGCGTTGTGTGGAGTGGACCACCATGTGATGAATGCAGCGCACTGATTGGTCAATTGTACATCGTCCACGTCATCTACAACACAAGAATGTTGGTATTGCAATCGAATATACAGAAGAAATAACACTAAATATACCCTCCCCGTCCTCTCAACCTCACCAAAGAAAATGGTGTCATGTATAAAAATGTGTATATTTCCAAATATATCGACTTTCGAGTAGAATTCGAATGCTTTATATATGGCAAATGTACTGGAGAATGTCCTATAAAAGATGCACTAAAAAGAGATTTCAACCAATCATCGATTCGTTTAGCTTGGCCCAACAGATTGGCCCAGCCAAAACGTTCATTTTCAAGTTTGTAAACCATATATTTGAATAAGCTTAAAATCTAACTCAATCGATTATTCTCGAATCCACTGCCAAGTCCAAATTTCAGCGAAATGGACAATATACAGTATATATTGTCCTTTTCGCTTATATATAATATATATATATATATACATATTATATAGGTGCAATGCGGGTAAAATACCTGCAGCCACAACCGAGAGCACTTGGGGTATGGCCACATGAGCTTTCATGGCTTGCCACCGGACGACGGCATCATGCATGGCGAGTGCGAGCTCCTTTTGCTGCGCCATCAGCGTCAGCGACTCCCAAGGCACAAAGTCCAGCACTTGACCATCGGGCAGCACGATGTCACAGAAAAAATCAACGTCTAACGATTTTAATTCGGGAGACAGCACCACTGGTTTGGCACTCGTTGGCTTCGATGATGATGGCGCCATCTTGTGCAGCCTAGGTATGATGCAGGAAGGTATATTGCTCATTTCACCCAAATTTGGATTTGAGAGGCATTTCACCAAATAGCATTCGAATCCTATTTAAGCTAACTATAAAACGATGAGTATATAAATGGTTTTGCCCAATGTGGAGAGGTCAAACGTTTGGATTGGCAGAAAATTGACATGACGTGATTTAATTGGCTCAGGTGGTTCTTTAATACATAATACATTCAATTCTCCCGAGGGCTCCAGTTTCGAATCGATTTGACAATATTATGGCATGATTGCATTATCTTCCCCATCACAACAACAACCCCAATACACTGAATGAGGCACATAGAATAATACTACGAAAACACGCATACATATACAGTAGTATTTTGAGTTTGCTACCAACATTCGCATGGGTTTGTCCTAGTTGTTTAAAATTCCAACGCACTGGAAGGCTGGTTGACTGATATATAATTGTCCTTTGTGTAAGAACCACATCAGATCCCCACTTAATATTGTATTAGCCTGTAGCGAAGATTCGTTATATATTTCCTGTGAAAATGATTGAATTGCACCCTAAACACACTACATTCCATACCCCAAAAATACACGAATAGGACGGGGCACTTGAAATAAAAACAGCAAACAAAGGCACCTCGTATGGGTGAAACGTTAATATATATTGTGAATTTGCTACAAATTTTCAACATTCGCGTGGTTTATGTAATCAATATTGAATCGCACTGGAGTTCTGATTGGCTGACTATACTTGTCCTTTCTGAAAGAGCCAATCAAATCCACTCAAATTTCGATTAGCAATACCGTCGATTCGTGATTCGATTCGGCGGCGTGATTCGATTCGACGGGGTCTGGAAATTCGTACCGAATCCACAATAATATATATACGTACTTGCTAAGCATGATGGTGGCGGCATTCCGAGTGGCCTCTTGTTTCGCCGCGTCTTTGGCTTGGAGGGCTGCAAAACTCTGCAGGGCGACGTCGATAGCATGCAGCTGACACTTTAACAAGTCTGTGCGATGAGCCAATCGGTGGGCGTAGTGGGGCGTGGCGGTCCAATCCAAAGCCCCGAGCGACTGCAAGTGGTGGTGCTGCAGTACAAATCCCCGGCAGTACCACGCTACATATCTACACCATCGATAGTACAGCGGACTCGAGCTGTTTAAGCTCTGGCAGTCGCTGCGTTTGGGGATGGCGATGCCTTGCGCAAGGGCGCTTCGGATCACATCGGCATCGCCAGTTGCAAACAGCAGCTCTTGTCGTAAAAAGGCAGTGCGCGCCTATGTGAAGTATTTGAACGAATATAGGATCGATTCGGCTAGGAAAAATACTATTTTATTTTTTTAATAAATTATATTTTTTTGGAGTAGGAGAAACGTACGTGGGGCGCCTTGTTCCCGTACCAAAACATGTACTTGTGGTACAGAACTCTGTCGGGCACATTCGTGGGCAGCTGCAAGTTGAAACACGAAGGCGGGAGGTCGATGCCTGCGTCGTGACATATATTTTGCACGGCTTTGGACAGCAAACTGGCTTGGATTTCGATAAATTGCTGTTCTGGGGACAAGTCGTCCCATGGTATCAGGAGAGATTCGACGTTAAAGTCGCCAGCTTGCTGAGGGTCCAGCTTGGACTCGACATTGCCGTCACTGAACCGAGTTGGAACCTACAAATCGTTCGTTGCGATTTGATATTATATACAAAAATTGAGTGGGGTGCTCAATCGATTGAGCACCACCAAATCGACAAACATACGATCGACCAATCAGAACTCAGAACACTGTACACGTGGCCAATCAAATTCTCGCTCGAACCATTCAACATCGAATTAGTGTGTACCTTGTATTAGTATGTATTTGGTGGATTTTTACATACAAATATCAGTACAAACAATCGATGGATGGATTAGGCGAAGCAGCAAATAAATCCAAATTTTGGCTGAAACTGCAATACATATTATTGAACAAAAAACCTTCTGTTTGTTGTTGTTCGGCCCCATGAAACGTAAACACTTAGGGTGAGTCTGGATGCCAAAGAAAACGCCAAAATCTTCAATATTTTGGCAATTTCTAAGAAATCGGCAAAAAATAAACAATTATCTGTCTCGATCCAAAATTGGAGAATTCAATATTTTGCCAATTTTGTTTTTCTCGTTTTTCGCCAAAAAAAAAAGAGGTTCAAGGGACTTTTTTTCTGAAAATTGGCAATTACTGAGTTTCTTTCGAAATCAGTTTGATCGAGACAGTCAAGAATAGGTGACAACCAAATTCTTCGAATTACCTTGAACAAAATATTCTAAATATTAATTGGGCAAAAATTGGGGTGCGATCCAGACCCACCCTTACATTATAATTCAATGCAATCTCAAATCAATTCAACAATGGGTATATTTAGATCAATTGCTCAAATTTTATTACATGGCGCAAACGTACGATAAAAAGTACGGCAGATGATTATTTAATATAGATTTCCGACTGTATACATTGTAATGATCGTACTGTGCGGGAACGATCACTATGAGCGTCTAGCCAAAAGAGGGGTGCCAATGGGTTGGTTGGGGGTCGAGTGGCTAGCTCCACCACATGCACCCCACTGCTGGCGCTTTGGTTGTTGTCGTTTGGTCCCCACAATATGGCTGGAGTTGCCTAACATACGAATCCAAACCAGGCAACATGAAGCATCGTAATCAAGGGAGCATTTTAATCCTATATTTTTTTATACATAGACATCGAACATCATACAAGTTTAAAAAGAAAACTCGATATCCACAACGGTAAACGATGTAGAAAGTAGTATTTAAATTGATGAGATATCGTCGAATTTTAACGCGGCAGTGTTGTTTTCGATGGAGCACACACACAGCAACATGCACGAAGGATACATATTGTTTTACCTTGGGCATGGTGATGGCATGTCGGCGCTGCTGCAAATGAGGGATTTGTTCCCTTTCTAACAGCTCTTCGTCCGTGCCCAGGAGGCCAAATGCAGAAACGACCCGCGCCCGGACCGGTCGATGGTGTCGAGGGGGTGGAGGCGGCTGCCGATACACTCGTGGGGCGTTGGTGCGTCTAGAAATATCGCGGTAGGCTCGTGGCACGGCAGTTGCCTTTGGGAGAAGCGAGTTGGACGGCCGGCGAATGTTCTAGACAAGAAGCCTTGTATAAATATATACATAAAGGATATATTTAGAATATATACATATATATATATTTAGTGAATTCAAACTGCTTACATAATACTAACCCAACCATAGTCTTTAGATTGAATATATATGTATATATTTAGTGAATTCAAACTCCTTACATAATAACATCCCAGCAATAGTATTTAGATTGTATACTGTATATGTACATATATAATATATATTTAGGGATTTCAAACTGCTTACATAATATAACCCAACCATATTTGTAGTATTTGGATTATTTTGATTGAATCTTACTTGACCATTTAGTACCCAGTCACTAGGAACCTGGTCGTTGTTGTCACCGTTGGCAATACTCGTACACGTCGAAAGGACGTGACTTGGCAGTGCTCCATTAGACGAGAGTCCACCAATGGTAGATTGACTCATGTGCAAGGGCACCCCCAATATTTCTCGTTCATGTGCTAAATTCACCGTAACCTACGACGAAATAATAAAAATCGACCATAGGATGCCATAATGAATGGAGTAAATGCATAAGTTTGTACAGCATGTCGAGTAGGCACGAGGGGTTGGTTATGGAGACGGTGCGAAGCTGAAGTCGGAGAGAGGCGCGCGACAGCTTCGGCGACTGCCGCGTCCGGAATCATGTGCATGTGCACAACAGGGATGGTCAATTGAAGCGGGATGTCTATTGGTTGATACAACAACGGCGAAGTGTCGGTATGGTCTACATACATGAAGGTCCATTTCGTTTAGTAGTTGACCATAGTTTAGTAGGGTTGGATGTAGTAAGCAGCCCCCAATTCAACACACAAAAGTAGATTTGAATGCACTGTAAGTACCCACTAATCCAGATCACATGTATTGATTACTAGCATAGAGTTAGTTTCCGAATTCTTTCAAACTCGAAAGCTCTATTTCACGTTTATAAATTTGTTTTTACTATATTGATAAGGCATAAATCTTTCCATGAAAATGCTGGATATCTTGATAATGTTATACAACAAAGCGATGACTTCGAGAAATGTGTAAGGACGAGTCTGGATGCCACAGGAAATTTGATTTCACATAATATTATGACAGAGATTTCCCATTTCAAATGGAAGGTGAGAAAATATTAGCAAAATATTTTGATGTGACCTCGTGATGGATGCCATGGTGGTATGAGAACTATCGGTAGAATATCATGTAGGTAATATTTCGACAATTGCAGTTGATTTTTTTTCTTTCAGAAAACAGTAATATTCGACGTATTGTGTCGATTTCTACTTGTTACATTTGAAAGCCAAACACACCAAAGTAGTTGTTTGAAAGCTTGGCATAATATTTATGAAAATTGAAAAAATAGGTGTTTTCTGATATTTTTTGTCGCAGCTAGATTGGTCTAAGGAAAAACAATAAATAATATATATCCACATCCTTGGTAGTTATATACATCAGGGGTATATTTTACAGCTATATAATTGGTTAATTTCAAAAGTTAAAAATGCATTTCCATATCAAGGCACAAAAAGTAGAGGCAAAATATTACATATTGAGTGAATATGTTGTCGTACAGATCGAATGGGGTGGTTGGTTTAGTTGGTCAGAAGTAGCAATACTAGTAGGTGGCCTGAGCGCCACTAACGGATTGTTGGTAGCGCGTAACACCAGCGCCAGCACTTTCTTTTTCTGCCGCGGGAGCACAAGCACACGATCGACGCCACTCCCGAGACAGCAAAGAAAGCTCACCGCATTCCTAAGAATAATATTTTCCAGTGGAGATTTTTGATGATTAGTCATGTGTACGGAGTCGCGGCGGTGGAAAAGTAGCCGCCGCAGGGCTTGGCGCTGGTTACGACGACGCGAAATGGTACGCAGATATCGCCGCCTGCAAAGTACCAAAGCAAAATCGTGTGGTCTCGGGCTAGTGTAGCCAGGAGCGTAAACTACGCCCGCCATCCAAAGCGCATTAAGTAATATAAATAATAAAATATTGTCGATTTGATACAAATTTGGGGAGGGGGTGCAATCGAATCGCGCCAACCAAACCGACCCACAATCGATCTGATTGGTTGAATTACATTGAGAAGGTTTGGATTGGCTAATAATTTTGAGCTCTTCTGAAGTAGCCAATCAAATCGATTTAAATTCCAATGAGAAACCACACCACAACACGAAATTTCACTCGAAAGCACAATAGAGACGGATGTGTATTTTACATCGTGGTCGACGGTGGTGCCGATGTTGTGATGGACAGCAATATCCGTCACTGTGTTGGCGTGCGCCGACGGACTGAACGTGATGGCTTTTTTGGTAGTTAATAAACTCGTGGCTACAAAAGCTGATTCACAGGAGCGGTTCAAATGAGTGAGTGGTCGTACCGCCTTTGACGTGATGTCGTGGCAGTGTCCACAGCTCGACCGCCCCCGCTTCGCATCCACAACACAAATGATTCCTGTCCACTAATTTTGCCACGGAAATGTTGATCGAGTGGGTTTTGAATAGCCCCACCAGCTGCCAACCACTCGTTTCAATCGAGTAGTTTTCGTCCACCAGAGTCCATTCCCACAGTTTAATCTGACCATCAAATGCTGTGGTGACAATGGACGGTCGACAGAAGCCGCCGGCGTTGTTGTTGTTGTTGTTGGTACTGCAAACAGTAGACTTGTCAGCAACGACATCGTCGTCAATGTTGTGAGATGGCAGCGCCGCGGGGTTTTGAATCGATACAATGCTACCCAGAATACGTGAATGAATGGCTACGATACACTCGGGTTGATTTACTTTTCGGAATGCGCGACGAACGTTCCGTGATATGTCCATGCATGTGCCTCCACCAGCCACGTGTCGAGCGACCCTTGGGCATCCCCCACCACGAGCCCCACGACGCCATTCGATAGCTGCAGCGTACACACACAGTCCGCCATCACCCCTGCCATCTCAACGTTAGTCTCATGAAAAATATGGCTGTTTGTAGGGTGGATATCGTTCACACCCGAATTTCGATTCCGATGTCGAAACCTTGGTTCAAGTCATTCGATCAACGTAGGTTGTCACGTATTTTGGAGTCGTACATTTGGAGTTCACTGATTTCGAAAGAAACAACAACAGTAAACTAACGACATTCAGAAAAACTAGAACCTCTTTTCTATTAATTTTTGACGAAAAACGTGGGATTTGCCAAAATGTTGTATACTCCAAATTTGTATCCAGACAGGGAATTACTCACAATTTGTTAGAAATTCCAATTGTTAAAACTTCCACTTTGTTAGAAATTGCCAAATATCGTCGATTTTGGACCTTTTTGGACATCCAGACTCACCCTTAGCCATATACTAGTATATATATATATATATATATATTCGCCATATATGACCTACCACAAGGCCGTTTCAGCAAGCACCAACGGTGACCGTTGAGCGAAAATAAGTCAAGCACTCCGTCCGACCAGCCCACAATGCACTTGGCCAAATGCGTGGAGTACTCCAAAAAGCAAATCACAGGCTGACTGACCCCCTCCACTGTTGGAAAGTCCACCCCTATAACATAACCGAAAGTGAGATTTGTTTTGGCTTGTAACAATATATATATATATATATCGTGAATTCGCTATTGACCAATAGGATCGTTTTGGTCGGCGTGATTCGATTGAACGGGTTAGGTCTGGAAAAATATACAAAAAATCGTACCAAATCAAGAATATATCGTTGACTTGTCATACCTTCATGACGTGGAAGCGCCAGTTCACACACGGGCAACGCAACGTCTTCAAACAACTGCACAGACTTGGCAGCGACAGTCCCTCCAAAGAGGGAGTACCCTCTGCGAGGACGAACTACTCCTCCACCAGTCGGATCTCGCTGTTGCGCGGCGGGTATCGTAAACGGAATTTCCTAGTACAATGTCATTTGCAAATCACGATCCAAAACGACGACCCTAGCAATACAATAATAGTTCCCCACGGCCTTACTCGAAGGCTAAATAAGTTGGTGGAGGCTGACACCATCCTGGATGTGGATTGGGTCGACAACACTTCGACCACGCGGAGGCAACTTCCGGCCGTGTGGGATTGCACAATTGCGACAAAGTGTCGCGCCGTGTGCTGCAAGTTGCTAAATACGAATCCATTCGAGTATGGCTTGCGATTGGCTACTGCTGCTGCCGGCGATGATACTGTGGACGGCGAATAACCAGATACTACTGTAACATGGAGTAAATAAAACATAAAAAATATGACACGATTTTAGGTTGACAAAGTCAAAAGTCTAGGACTAACGTATTGTCAAGTCGATTCGAAAATTGGAGTAGGGTTCAAATCGCAGGCAGACAATCGATCGACCAATCAAAACCCAGTACACTGACCAAGTGGCCAATCAAAATCACTCTTCGACCAATTCAACATCGAATTAGTGTATGACTGAAATTAGTGTGACATCGGACGAGTTTTACATACAAAGAATCGATGGATAGATTTGGCGAATCAGCACAAAAGTCCAAATTTTGGGTAAATGGGCAATACCTGTATCCAATGGCAACGCCAACGACCGCAACTGAAACGCTAGCACCCTTGCCGGCTCATCCAATGTATCTTGAACTGGCACGAACGCCAGCTTGGACGTTGTGGTAAGCAATACCACCGCGGGAAGCCCAGATTTGGTCGCAAATGCACTTGGTGTGTGCGTCACACAGCAGCTCGCCACGTCATGAAAGAACGTGGTGTCGTCGTCCAGTTGTAGTGCGTTGTGTATCGCATGGCGTGGGACAGACACTGGGACCTGTTTGACGTTGGAGACGTTCCATACGTCCACGCCACTACGATAAATTTGTTCAGTACCCAATTACAAAACGGATAGAGAACATGACAGGGGCGTACTGGGGGCCAAATGCAAGAATTTCATCCACGAGAGGCACGTAGGCGAGTCGTCGAACGAGGGCGGGGGGTGTAGAGTTGCTGGAGGTCGGGAACTTGGCCAGAATCACACCAGACAGCGCGTCGACTAGCTTGATCGCTCGCGGGGAGGCTGCCGCAATGCGCTGGTGTTTTGTGTCCACACATAACGCATGCCAAGTCGTTTTCTACAAGGCGATTACATGATACTGTATACACACACATATATATAACTTGATTGTAATCGAAAACGCAAATTTTGCACCAGCAACTGCCAGAATTTGTCGTTGGTGTGCACCATGAAGTAAATATACATAGAACGTAAATATTGTATTAAATATTATTCACAGTCAATATAATCTCAAGTCAATCATACACTGTTAACATTTCAAAAGATTGTTCGACTTTAATTACATGGTGCAAAAATGGTAGACTCAATTGAAAAAATAATGTCTTATATATCTATTTACCTTGGTATCTTGCACATGAAGACGGGTAGGGCAGCGAAGACACTCGTTCTTTTTGGGAGGACTAGTACTACTAGAACATGTGGTGACCCCACTGACAAGGCTGTGGCTGGGTGTATTGTTGGTGGAACTGTGAAAGGTGGTAGACCGAGTGGGGGTGTCGGCGTGGGTACTGCTACTGCCACGAATAGACCACATTCGAATACCACCAAGAGAGTCGGTGGTCACAACTTCGTGGACATCTGGGTTTTTCGCGACATCCAGCAAGGTTCCTACGATCGAACAATATGTAGTAAACGTCAACGAGAGATGGTGAACACAAATGTGTAAACGCTGAGATGGTTGCACTATACCTTCATAACAGAGCACCCCTAGGTCGTCGAACCCATTGTTGCCCAACGAATCTGACCTATGGAGGGGTCATATACATCAGATAGAAGAACCCCATTTGATGTTTATTGTACTGGAGCAGTCGACGATGGAGAGCGGAGCCGATGGCGCTAAACACAAGGACCGCATTGTTCTAACGAGGTTAGGAGTTAATCTGACCGACGCCGCTGTTTACGATGGCGAGACAGTACCCACCCATTCCACGTATATCACCCGCAAAAACACTTCTCCGTCGTCCGCGTGCCACGTATGTCGCAGCTTTGCAATGCAGAAACGTCGTCATCCTGACAATGAATTTAATGAACCTTCTCTTAGTACCTGAACGTCGTCAGAAGCAAGGCCAGAGTACACTTGGATGAGGTTTCCGTTGGTTAACACCAGCTCATGGTCTCGAAAGTTGTAGTCACTGGATGTGATAGACCCCACTGTCGACAACACTTCTTCGCGGAGAAGGAATGTTGGGGCCCCTTCACATGCGATCATATCGTCGTCCGGCTGGGTTGGCGCAACGGTAATATGTTGAAACGGCGAAACGATGGTGCATTAATATCCATTCGGAAAATGTATGGTGGCGCCTGTTTTTTTATTCGGATGTGTAACCGACTCTGAAACGCTTGGAACCACCTTTGGACGGTTGTCGCGATGCCACGTCATTCCCTGTCGCAGCAAGTACTATTACGTTACACTGTATTAGTTAGTACTCAAGAGTACTAATACAGTGTAACGTTACTAGGATATTACTATTATTAATAATAGTACGTGTTCATAGTATTAATACCCGCTGCACCGAATAAGTCATGTTACTTGTATTATAATGCCATTCACTGTCGGTACCAACTACTTCAGTACTATTTATAACACCACGGAGTAATATTGTACTACACGATTAACACGCCGCTGCGCTAGTGTGCTGGCAGGAATTAGGGATGGCGCTTCGCGCAAGAAATATCACTTACCTCGAAAGAAATGAAATGGATACACAACGACGTGCCCCACAAAGAGCCTGACACCTCGGAACCCCGGCGCTCTGGAACCTACAGTACATAAGTTATGTCGAAATGCAGTCTTCATTTTCAGGGGTTTGGCGCATCGCCAGTGGTTTGCTATCGCTAACCCCGGGCAATGCGCCAAACCCCTCACGAATATCAGAAGCAGGCATACCTCCGCTAAGCTGCGAAAGGTCGCGAACCCCTACACAGATGCAGAAAACGTTCAAGGTGCGACGAGCTCTTAGTCATAGTGGCCGCCTCCAATGCGAATTAGAAACTGTTGCAAATCGACTTCGCGTGGCGAGTTGATCCCGTTAATGTAGTGTTGCACTAAGAAAATCCCGTTACCGCTGCGAGCACATTCTCCGGATACGGCCATAAATTCAAACCGCCGGAAGTAACCCTACTGTATGCCCACAGTTCTTGGCAAAATATTAATCAAATAAAAATTGCGAAAAGTGTTCCTGCACCCGCGGCTTTCGGTAAAATATTGATCGCCCAACGCATTCGTGTTGTTTAGAGGTATAGTGGTATGATACACATTCGCGTTTGGTTCAGATACTAAGTAATTGAATTAGTGTTGCACTGAGAAAATCCCGTTAACAGATAATTCACACCTTTGAGTTGACCCTCAAAGGTATATTTTGACCGTTCAGTTTTTGACGAATATATGATCTTGATTAACGTATGCTGGATTATATTGACCTCTATTTTCATCTTGATTTAACTATGCAATATTATCTTGACCTAGGTATTATCTTGATTAAACTATGTGACATTATTGAGGCTTCGGACAGACAATTAATCTGGTGGGGCTGGTATAGCTTACTATTAATAGCGTAAATCGTACCAGTAATAGTATGTTCTAAGTACTCCGAGTAGTAGTCCATATTACCGTACCGATAAGGTCATACTACTTACTACACCATTTTGCGGTTAATTTCGAAAAATATCTGGTATATTTCGTGGAATCCCATTTAACAGAAAATTCGTGGAGCTTCATTATATTTCGCGACTTCGGCACTTAATTTCTTGGGAACGTCGAATTCACTCATTATATTTGGTGGACTGCCAGTATATTTCGTGATTTGCTCAGTTAGATTCGCAAACATCCACTATACTTCGTGATGTGGCCAATATATTTCGCATAAATGTTAGCGTAATGGGTGAAAATATGTACTTGTAGGAGTGACGAGAGTAGGCTCCAACCAATTCGTCGTCCATGTTTTCGGCTCTGTGGTCGTATTGATACAAATAGTTCGCATCAGCTCCTACGAAAATCAACTGTACTCATATACAGTACTACGTAGTACTTCGAAGTATGTGGTATCAGAAGCATACCTTGAATGACTTGGTCACCCAATGCCAACAAAGCGACTACCGGTATTGCTTTGCTGACATCGGAACGTTTCTGTACGTGCCTCGTCGGCGTGGTTGACATTCGTTAGTTACTACTAGTATGTAAGTAAGTACTACGTAGTATGTGCTTACTGGGGTTCGAGGTGATGGAAGTTCATCGCCATATGAGAGGATGAAGGGAAGGTCGGCGCGAAACCATCTGTCGCGCACTGCTTTCTGACCAGTCAGAGCGAGTTGAAGTGAATGTGCGAAATATATTGGCCTCATTATGAAATATATTGGATGTTTGCGAATCTAACTGAGCAAATCACGAAATATACTGGCCGTCCACGAAATATAATGAGTGAATTCGACGTTCCCACGAAATTAAGTGCCGAAGTCGCGAAATATAATGAAGCTCCACGAATTTTCTGTTAAATGGGATTTCACGAAATATACCAGATATTTTTCTAAATTAACCGCAAAGTGATGTAGTAGACGTAAAACATGCTACAGCACTGGTTACACATTTAACTAGATCACTTGCAAGCATCTTGTCGAGTTGAAGGCCGTGTGCACGGCTCCGTCTTGTCCCAACACCACGATGCCGTCATTGGCGGCACCAGTCCGCTGATCATCCTTGCGCTCTCGTGCCCCGCTCAACTTTCGATACACGACAACCACCAGCGCCATGGCCACAACCCCGGCCATTCCAATGCATGTAAACATGATGATCGCACTGGTAGACATATTGGACTCCTCCGACGTGGCGTTCACTGACACGTCATGCCCGCTTGGAGTCGAAGTTGCCGAAGTGGCTTCTTGTTGCTGACCAACGGGGGCGGTGACCACGGGCTCTGAGGGAGAAGCCCCCGCTTCTGTTCCATTTCCAACAGTCGTTGTTGCGGGGATTACATCAGATGTCGCCGACGGAGTACTTGTAGAGACATTGGATGAAAATGGTTCGTCAGGTAAAGGGGTTTCGGTTATGGGTGGCACTTCGGTGGTCAGAGGTGCACTGGTGGTGATAATAGGTACATCTGTGGTGGTGGTAGTAGTAGTAGTAGGGGTCACCACAGTTGTGATTGGGCGGAACGAAGTAGGGTAAGGTCGTGGCGTTGAGGTAGTTGGTACCGTTGTTGTGGTTGGGGTAGTTGATGGCGTCGGCGCTATAGTCGTGACTTGAGTGGTCGAGGTGGTGGGAGCCTCTGTGGTTGTGGAAGGTCGTGAGGTTGTTGGAGTGGCAGATGTCCAGGTAAAAGGTGTGGTAGGAGGACTGATGGTCGTGGTAGCTGGGGCCAACGTTGTACTCGGTAGCTTTGTTGTCGTCGTCGTGGCAGTGGTAGTTGGTGGATTTGTGATGGGGGTTGCTGTTGTGACTGGAGCAGCAGTGGTCACCACAGGGGGGGCCTCCGTCGGTCGGGGGGTCTCAAGTGCGGTGGAAGGCGTGGGGCTAGCCCACGACCCCCCGGCACCAATTTTGGGCAGCCCCTTCACATCCACAAACCAACTGTTGTCCCACAACGAGGCAAATCCGTCCGGAAAGAACGCGCCGGCGCTTGGCCCTTCTTGGGCGTCGGCTGTCCGCCCACTGCAGGTTCCGTCGCTCTCCCCGGGCACCTTGAGCCACAAGTTGTAGTCCACGAGCGGATGGCCCGTGTCGGTGCCTGGTGGGGCACCGATGCCCGCCGACCGAGAGTTGCACCACTCGTCCCCCACCGATCCTCGATAGTTGCGAGATGTGTCGAACACACAGTGGAGCCCCCCCGTGGCCCCTGAGATAGTGCTGCAAAACGACATGAGCTGGGCGTTGGTCTTGTAGTTGGACGTGTTGATAGTCACGCCGTCGAGTCTTCCAGCCGTCTTGAGGTCGTTCAGAACCTTGGTGGCTTCGGCGACGTTGGCCCAGCTCGCCACGTCCACGTATACTTTGGCGTTGGGGTTGCCGCTCGAAATGAGTCCAAGGGCGACTTTGAGGTTGTCTAGGTAGTTGTTTTCCTTGGCGCAGTAGTCTTTGGACAGCAGACCGATCGCATCCGGTTCCAGCACGTACACCACCTCTCTGGAGCCTACGCGCGAGACGAGGCTCTGCACCCACGTTTTGTACATGGCTGCGTCTTTGTTGTTGCCGCTACTAGAGAATCCGTCGGCGCAGTCCTTGTTGGGCAGACCGTAGATGACAATGGAAGGTACTTGGCTACCCGAGCACTTTTGAAGGAGGTCACTGATGGCGTCACCCCCGCGGTCCGTGTACCACGTAGCAACGGCATTCTTGCTGAGTTCGTTGAGGGCGCCTTGGAGTTTTGGGTTGGATGAGGCTGCTTGCGTCCAGGAGTAGGGTATCAGGGCGTTGCAGATGCTAGCAGCATGGGTCGACTCGACCAGGAGTGTGCCTAGGGTGAATAAAGGCACCAGGAGCTTCATAGAGTTTGGGGTTGAATCTAAAATGCTAGTATACGTATAGTATCATTGAGATTACCTATGCGAGACGGAATAGGATATGAATTGGACGGATTATACATGTTTGCATTGCAGGTGTGATTTACGCGACGATCGTTGATATGTCGAGTTTGGCCATGCTGGCTACAGTGAAATGAGATGTGTCGCCATCGGAAATGTTCGCCACTGTGGAAATACCTTGACCTAGATGACATCTGACGTGTTTGTGAACGGATCAGATCCATCACATTGCCCTGGCTTCGGAAAAGTGTGTGGGCCATCTAGGCTAAGGTAATTTGACATTGCGCATCAGAACCATTGAACGTTCTGGGAACGTGCTGGCCGGCACTTGTGCTGTGCTTTTCCACTGGCCAATCGAACGTTTACCCGATTGAACAGTACAAGTCGGAGCGGGTTAACTGAACCTATCTATCAACTTAGGAACTACTGCCAGAGCCGCCGAATCCATAATTCTACCTGGCCCCTACTATGCAATTATATTGTCAAGTCGATTCGAAATTGGAGTGTGTGATCAACTGAATGGGCAGACAATCAATTGACCAATCACAACCCAGATCATTAATCAAGTAGCCAATCAAATCCACTCTTCAACCAATTCCACCTCGAATTAGTGTGTGACTTAAACTAGTGTGACACTCTGGACCAATTTTACATACAAACGTCAGTACGTACAAAGAATCGATCGGTATAGATTTAGCGATTCAGCACAAAAGTCCAAATTTTGGGTAAAAGGACAATAAATATATCATCGTGTAGCTTTACAGTTAGTTAACAGTAAGTTATTAATACCAGATATTTTAATAACTGGTATAGGAGTACAGTATTAAAATACTGTACTCCGGAGCATTAATATGGGGTTTCAATAACGTTATTACAGTGTTATTAATATGAACCTATGTCATTGTCGTTGCACGGAGGACACCAACCTATCTCATCCACATACTGTACTGTATTAATATTTGAAAAATGAGCTTGGATGACAAAACGACCTATGTAACGTTACTACGACTCTTCCATTTTCTTTCTATCACAACAAGAGTAGTTTGTGGCCACAACGCCATGACCACTTATAGCATTTGCATGCAGCGCTCAGTTTCCAAGCCGTGGGTAACTCCCAACGCGACGACGCCGCCTTGCGAGTCGAGTCTGTCGTTGTGTTTTTCCTGGGCGTTTCGTTTTCGAATGACCATCACAGCGAGCACAGTGGCCACCACGGCCGCCGCGGCCACCCCCGCGATGAGCACGATCATCCCCGTGGTGATGTTGGTAGTTTCCACCGACGATTGCACGGAAATGACTTCGTTGGGCTTGTCGGTAGATGTGGCAACGCGGCTTTGAACAGCAGGGTTCGTAGGTGCAGGAGTCGACGAAGTGGGACCCAATACCGCAGACTCGTTGCCAGACTCATTTTCTTGGGCTGTACTCTCGGGCTCAGCAGTCGAAGTCGACACGGGCACCACCGACTGGGCTGCCTCCGTAGTTGCTGCATACGTTGCTGCGGGAGTTGTGGTGGGGTTCTCAGTCGTACCAATAGAGCTTAAAATTGGTACCGCGGTAGACGTGGTAGGGGGTTCATTCGAGGTGGTGGGACTGGGGGTACTAGGGGGGGTGGTCGTCGCGACTGGAGCGTTCGTTTCAGGAGGTTCTGTCTGAGGAGGTGTGGACGTCGTGGGTGCCAACGTCACTACGGGCTTGGATGTTTCTGTAGTTACTGGCTTTGGGGTTGCCGAGCTCGGGCTAGGACCAGTCCACGACCCCCCGCCGTTAATTTTAGGCAGCCCCTTCACGTCCACAAACCAACTGTTGTCCCACAACGAGGCAAATCCGTCCGGAAAGAATAAACCCGCACTTGGCCCTTCCTGAGCGTCCGGGGTCCGCCCACTGCAGGTGCCGTCGCTCTCCCCGGGCACTTTAAGCCACAAGTTGTAGTCCACAAGCGGATGGCCCGTGTCGGTGCCTGGTGGGGCACCGATGCCCGCCGACCGCGAGTTACACCACTCGTCCCCCACCGATCCTCGATAGTTGCGAGATGTGTCGAACACACAGTGGAGCCCCCCCGTGGCCCCTGAGATAGTGCTGCAAAACGACATGAGCTGG